GATATTAAAAAGAAAACTTTAAAAAATGATTTTATTTGTAAGTCAGAGTTAGGGACTGGGCAGTAGGGGGAGATCGTCCATCTGCTGATACACTTTTCAGATGGTCGCATGGCCGGAGATGGGCCAGCCTACAGTCAGGAGCTTCATCTGGGTCACCCACACGGGGGGCAGGAACCCATGTGCACTTGGACCATCTTCCTTTGCTTTTCCCAGATATGAGCAGAGAGCCAGTACAAGTCACACAGAGCTGAGCTGTTGTAGCATATTGGGCTAGTCTTTGATGCTGGCTGGTGGGACAGGATCTGGGTTTACAGAAGAACTGGTGTGATCAGCATGTTATGCCAACATATATGGTACTCATTGCTCTGTTGGGCTTTTCCCCACTCCTCTTTTGAGAGTTATTTGTGGTCTTTACTTGGTTCACTGGAGTAGGGAGGCTTATCTTTATGTGCTCCTGGATATGTTCCTCTTTGCACAGAATTTGCAAAGCAGTTGCATCACATGTGATTGTATGCTGTTGTCAGAACACACTCTCAAGGGCTGTGGTCCATGAGATCGGAGATCCTGAGGTGTCAGAAACCAACTGGACATGAAAGGATGCTGCCCATCGAGGCCTCAAGTCATTGGTGGGACGGAGAGTAGATATGATTAGGGCAGGGTTTCTAGGGGGTTCTTGCCTGTGGGACTTGGAAGGGACACAGGCAGCAACACTCCTCATTGACACCCTGTATAAGGACCCCAGTCCACAGGCAGCTTGGGCACCTTTGATCCCAGGACTTCTGGCCAGACTGGCTATTGTGCAGTAGGGTCACAAGGTCCCCTGCCCATATGTCATCTCTGGCATCTAAGCCTGGACCTTCATCTCCTGTCTTCTCCAGAAAGGAAGGGAAGGAGGGAGGGAAAAACTAAAAAAAGTTTTTTTAAAACTTAAAAAGGAGGGAGGAAAAAATGAGAAGTTTTTAGTGGGAGAATTTATAGAAATAATAACTCAGTCACTGAGGCTTTGAACTAATAGACTGGTGAAAAAGCTTAAAAACAACTGGACAGAAGTAGTGATTAGAAGATTGCTCAGTTAGAGAAAATATGGCATAGATCAGAGAATGAAGTGTCCAATGTTTATCTAGTAAGAATTGCAGAGTGAAGAGTGGAGAAGAGGCAATGGCTGATAGTTTTCTAGAATTCAAGAAAATCAGTCTTTGAGATAGAGGTGGTTACTAAATTTTGAGTACGATAAAGCAAAACTGAAGAATAGCAAAGAAATGATATTGACAGCACCTTCTGTTTTAAAGATTTACTTAAGCGTCAGCATTTAAGCCTCTGCCACCAACATCCTGTATGGGCACTGGCTGATCCACTTTCAGTTCAGCCCGCTGCTAATGCACCAGGGAAAGCAACACAAGATGGCCAAAGTGCTTAGGTTCCTGCACCCATGTTAAAAACCTGAAGATACCCCGTGCTTCTGGCTTCTGCCTACCCCAATCCTGACCATTGTGGCCATTTTGGGAGTGAATCGGCAGACAGAAGATTTCTTTGTAACTGCCTCTGTCATCTCTTTAACTTTGCTGTCTTCCTCTCTGAAACTCTGCCTTGCAAATAAATGAAAAGTAAACCCCAAAGATTGACTTAATTATTTGAAAGGTAGAGCTAGCAGGGAGGGAGAATCAGAGAGATACATCTTTGATCTGTAGGTTCATTCCTCAACTGTCTGCAGTGGCTAGGGTTGGGCTAGGCCGCATCTAGGAGCTGGAACTCTCCATCCTAAGCATTTGAGGCCATCCTATCCTCTCCTTTCCCAGGCATTAGTCTAGACAGCATTCACATGGAATGTTCGTGTTGTAGGCGGCAACCCCAGTCAAGCAACTCTAAACCCAGATCTTCATGTGAAAACATAGCATACTATAAATTTAAATACTGGCAGTTGACAAGAAGAAATTAAAATAGATGAGTTGAGAAAGCATAGTCTGTCAAATTGACTGAAATAGCCAATATGAATAGTAAGACAACAGACAAACATTAAAAGTTGATTTGATCGGACCCGGTGGCATGGCCTAGCAGCTAAAGTCCTCACCTTGAATGCGTCAGGATCCCATATGGGCGCCAGTTCTAATCCCGGCAGCTCCACTTCCCATCCAGCTCCCTGCTGGTGGCCTGGGAAAGCAGTTGAGGACGGCCGAAAGCTTTGGGACCCTGCACCCGTGTGGAAGACCCGGAAGAAGTTCCTGGATCCTGGCTTCAGATCGGGATAGCATCAGCCATTGCACTCACTTGGGGAGTGAATCATTGGACAGAAGATCTTCGTCTCCGTCTCTCCTCCTCTCTGTATATCTGACTTTCCAATAAATAAATAAATCTTTAAAAAAGTTGATTTGATCAACTGCAGATAATTATTTTCAGTTATGTCTGAGATAGTAAAAAAATACATTACCAAATTCTGTACATATATCAAATCTTCTTGAATTAGTTGACCATTATACAGAAAGCCTAGAAACAAATAGGGCAGAACTTTGTCCTCTGGACTAATTCTTTTGGAAAACTTTTTTTTTTTTTTGAAGATTTGTCTATTTTTTCTTTGAAAGGCAGAATCATGGTAAGAGAGAGAAATCGTCTGTTGGTTCACTCCCCAGATGACTGCAATGGCCACAGCTGGGCAGGTCTGAAGCCAGGAGCTTCACATTCCTTTAGGGGCCAAAGGACTTGGGCCATCCTCTGCTGTTTTCCTAGGCCATCAACAGGGAGTTGGATGAGAAGTGAAGCAGCCAGGACTTGAACTGGGTGCCCTTATAGGATGTTGACACTACAGGCAGAAGCTTAGTGTACTCCACAGGGCCAGCCCTAAAACCAGTTTTTTAAGATTGATTTTTTACTTATTTTGAAAGGCAGAGTTTTAGGGAAAGAGGAGACAGGCTCCTATCTGCTGGTGTGTTCCCCAGATGGTTGCAGTGGCCAAGCTGGGTCAGGCAAAGCCAGGAGCTGCTTCCTGGTTTCCCATTGGGGTGCAGGGGCCCTGCTGCTCCACTTCTGATCTAGCTCCCTACCAAGGTCCTTGGGAAAGCAGTGGAAAATGGCCCGAGTCTTGGGCTCCTGCACCCACGTGGGTGACCCAGAAGAAACTATGTTCCTGACTTTAGACTGGCCCAGCTCTGGCTATTGAGACCATTTAGGAAGTGAACCAGCTGGATGGAAGATTTCTCTGTCTCTTCTCTATAATCTGCTTTTTAAATAGAAATACATCTCTTAAAATATTGTTAAAAGAAAAGACACGTTTTCTTAAATCCTTTAGTTCATGTGAATTTGGAAAGAACATAGGGTCATCTTGTAAGTTGAAAAACAAAAAAACATATCTAGAAAAGATCTGTTTTGAAAAATAAAACTTAAACAATAGTCCATGAGTTACAGTATGGATATTTTAAAAATTCCTGCGGTACAGAAGTCAGAAGAATGGAGAATCTTAGCTTTTGTAAATGAAAAGTTGTGGTGTGGGGTAGTAGTATTTTGCTCTTTAAAGATTAAAAAAAAATTTTTTTTAGTTAAAAGGCAGAATTGGATAGTTAAAAGGCAGAATTGGGGAGAGAAGGAAAAAACAGGTCAACATAACCAAAAACTGATTTTTAGAGCAATAAATTAGACAAACCTTCAGCACACAGTAATGGGAATGAAGAGGGTTATAGCATCAGATAGCATAGCAATTCAAAAATGAGTGAAAATGACTACTGTACATAACTTTCATAAAATAATATAGGTCATCCAGATTTGGAGAATAGTCATGGGCCACATTAGGTTTGGGATAATCCTTTAGGTGTGGAGCAAGTCAAATTAGCCAAGCCAGTCTGGGTCTGGAGATTTGGGGGTTACTAAATGACTAAATAAGCGGTATGCAAGGCGGATCAGTTTGGAGTCTGTTTTAATCAAGGTGGGAAATGAATGGTAGCGGTTTGAATGGTGGCAGTGGTAGTTGGGATGAAAAGGTTACAGAATTTTGAAAATTGGGGTGAAATTGATAAAAGTGTATATACTGGCTTTGTAGATTGTAACTTTACTTGCTGCACCACACCAGTTGTAGCACCTAGATTTTGGAGTGGATTCTTCTTGTTGCAGATTTGTTGTCTTTGAGTGACGATACACAATTTAATATTGGTCTCAAAGGCAGTTGGTGAGTAGCATGCAGGTTGTTGGTGTGCAGAACTATATTTTCCATACCTTAAGTTATTAAGTTCATTTGTTTTTGACTTCACATATTTAATGTTTGAAAAGGGGGGCTATTCTTTATTTTTAAAAAGCTTTGTAGATTACATTAACTAGAATCACCTTTTGTCTTTGGCAGTACCAAAAAGAGACTGAAAAGCATTCCTGAGCTTAACTCTTTAGAATCTGGATGCTCTGTTTTACATCTTATTTTTAGTATTGTTTACGCAGTTGAGAGGGATGCAAGCTGCTGTGGGCCTCTGATCAGGGTGGGCAGGGTCAGCTATGGAGGAAGGTAGGGGACACATGTTTCACTTTTTTTTTTCTTCTCCTGTATCCATTGGGTAGAGGGTGGGAAGAGAGCTGCCCCTTGCTGTCAAGCTATATCAGCACCTGGGGAGGGGAGACAGCACTGGATGATGCCCCAGAGACCCTGATGTGGGGAAGTGTTTCTGGATTGGTTTTGGGTAACCCTGAGATGAGTATGAACACTCTTTACTGTCCCTTTCTTAACACAGATGGGTACCGGAGTGAACCGGACTTAAGGTGCCTCGGGATGTGTGTGTGTGTGTGTGTGTTTAATTAAGTAAACATATTTGGCAGACCAACGAACTTTATGGTATGTGGCTTGAGGTGTATGATATTTTAAATGTCAGATTTTAAGTTTTTTAGGGAGTATGAAGTGCTAGAAGGCATTGAAAATTAAAATAAATGGCTTCCATGTTTGAATAAATTTCAAAATATTTTAGCTTCATATAATGTAGATAATAAAAACCTTTCAAAAGCATAATATGTAAATTGTACTTTCTTTTTTACAGGAGGTGATAACAGAATTCATAGAAGTAAAGAATTGTTAAAAACGGTAACAAAAAGGAAAGAAAAATGCCGAAACCAGTAAGTATATCTTTGACTTTTTAAAAAAAATATTTATTTTTATTGGAAAGGCAGATAGAGAGGAGGAGAGAGAGAGGAGGAAGATCTTCCATCCGATGATTCACTCCCCAAGCGGCTGTAATGGCTGGAGCTGAGCCAATCCGAAGCCAGAAGCCAGGAGCCTCCTCCGGATCCTCTACTGCTTTCTCAGGCCACAGGCAGGGAGTTGGATGGGAAGTGGGGCTGCTGGGATTAGAACCGGCACCCATATGGGTTCCCGGCCTGTTAAAGGCGAGGGCTTTAACTGCTATGCTATCACGCCAGTCCCATCTTTTGACTTTTGATGCTATTTAAAGTAAGGTGTTGTTAAGATTAAGTCCTTTTGGGAGCAAGGCAAATTATTAACTTGGTTTTTAAGTTCGTATTAAGGTAAAGTTTTTAGAAGAAAAATGCACTGTACAGTGATTTACTTTACTCCTGTGTTCACCATTTATTTCCCTTTATTTGAAAGTTGGGGAGAGGAGAGTCAGACATACATAGAGTTGTCCTGGTTGAGTCCTGAAATGCCTGCAGTGGCTAGGGCTAGACCAGACAGAAGCCAAGAAGTTAGGGTTCAGTCTGAGCCATCTCATAGGTTGTCAGGGACCCTGCTACTAAGACATCACTGCTGCCTTCTCAGTTTGTTGGCAGGAAGCTGGAAGCCAACTGGGGACGCAAACCCAGGCATTTTAACATAGGATGCTGACCTCTCCAGTGGGGTCTTAAACTGCTATGTCAGAAGCCCGTTCCACTGTTATTTTAGATTAATGCTCAAGCGTAGCATGATTGTAGTATAGTTAAGTCATGAGCTCTGGGGCTGATGCTGTGGGACAGTGGGATAAACCACAACCTGTGACCCCAATATCCTTTGAAGTGCCAGTTGGTGTCCCGGATGCTCCACTTCTGATCCAACTCTCTGCCAATGTGCCTGACAAATCAGTGGAATGTGGTCCAAGAGCTTGGGCCCCTGCCACCTGCATGAGAGACCGGATGGAGTTCTAGGTTGTTGGCTTCAGCGTGGCCCAGTCCTCAGCCATTGTGGCCATTTAGGAAGTAAATCAGTGAAGAGAATTGTTCCTGTGTGTTTTCTCAGCAGCTCTCTTTCAGATGAGTGAATGAATATATATATATGTGTGTGCGTGTGTATATCTTTTTTTTCCTTTCTTAATTTGGGGGTTCTGAGGTTGAGCAGTTGTAGTACATGGTTCTGCCGCTGAATCCAGTGACCTTAGTTGATCTGTTTTTTCACTGCAATTTTCTCACATAGAGTAAGGATACACTTGATGGTTATTCAGGAGAATATGGTGAAGATTAGAAGAATCTGGTCCACATTCAGTGCTCCATAAGGGTACTTTATTATTAAACAAGAGGAATTGATTAGACGACTGGGAGATCCAGGCTTTACTAATTTTCTCATAATTGTAGTTTTCATGGTTATGAGATTGCTGCCATTACAAAGCCTTAAGATTGCTTACTTGTGCTCATTTTATAGTTGTAGAATTATGTGGTTCTTCACTAAGGTTTATTAATGTTTTGTTTTTTTTTAAGGATTTATTTATTTATTGGAAAGTCAGATATACAGAGAGGAGGAGAGACAGAGAGGAAGATCTTCTGTCCGATGATTCACTCCCCAAGTGAGCACAATGGCTGATGCTATCCCGATCTGAAGCCAGAATCCAGGAACTTCTTCCGGGTCTTCCACACGGGTGCAGGGTCCCAAAGCTTTTGGCTGTCCTCAACTGCTTTCCCAGGCCACAAGCAGGGAGCTGGATGGGAAGTGGAGCTGCTGGGATTAGAACTGGCGCCCATATGGGATCCTGGGTGTTCAAGGCGAGGACTTTAGCTGCTAGGCCATGCTGCCGGGCCCTATTAATGTTTTCTTTATTTAATAAAATGGGGTACTTCTTCAGAAGTTGAAAAAAAAATTTACTTGAAAGAGAGATCTTCTATCTTGATACCCCAAAATCCACACTGGTAAAGGCTGGGCCAAAAGCAAGGAGCCAGGAGCTTCATGCAGGTCTTCTGCATGCAGAGCAGGGGCCTACACTTGGGCCATTTTCTGCTTTTCTCAGGCCATTAGGAAGGCGCTGGGTTGGAAGCGGAGCAGCTGGGATGTGAACAGGTGCCCACATGTGTGCTGGCTTTGCCAGTGCCGGCTTTACCCTCCACACCAGAAAGCCTCTTCTTAGATATGTTTCTCTTACCCAGTTACTTTAAAAACAGATTTAGTTACTTTTATTAGAAAGGTAGATTTATAGAGAGGAGGAGAGACAGAAGGATCTTCTGTCTGCTTGTTTGCTCCTCAAGTAGCTGCAGCAATTAAAGTTTAGCTGACAAGCCAGGAGCTCCCAAAGCTTTGGGCTGTCCTCTACTGCTTTCCTAGGCAATAAGCAGAGAGCTGGATGGAAAATGGAGCAGCTGGGACATGACTGGCACCTTTATGGGTTGCTGGGCTTAAAGGTGGAGGATTAGCCACTTGAGCCAAAGCGCTGCCCCATCCCAATATATTTCTAAAGAAAAATTGTTAGTAACTATTATTTTCTGGTATGGGTCATTACTTTGGAATGACTAAAAGACCTAGCTTGTAAAAAAGTATGTATTATTGGGGAAAGAGTAGAAGTTAAAAAAAGTAGAAGACATAAAGTTTACAAAGAAAGAAGTGCAATTTTCTATTTATAGTTGACATGATTTAGAAAAGTTTAATGAAACTACAAAACTGTAACTCATAACTAAATTAGGCAAAATTGTCAGGCACAGGATATATTATGAAAGATTTTTTTTTACACGTATCAACGTTTGAAAAATGAATAGCATTGGTAACAGCTTCAAAACCATAAAATACTTAGAAATAAACAAACCAGCACTGTACTTGACTTCACTGAAAGTTTGCTGTATAAGGGGTGGGTGTGGTGCAGCGGGCTAAGCTGGCTATTCTGCTGCGGGTCCAGCTTGCTGGAAGCAGCACATGATGGCCAGGTGCTCCTAGCCACCCCGGCAGGAGATGCAGGTGAGGCATCTGAGTCAAAGCTGCCTCAGGTCTGGAGGTTTTGGGTAGAGAACCAACTTTTGGAGGATCTCTCTTTGTCTCTCTATCAGTCTGTCTTTTGAGTAGATGAAAAAAGCTTTTTTTTTTTTAAGAATTAGAGATTTAAAGGCTAGGATGGGAGTTTTGGGCCTGGCAGTGTACAGCAGGCTAAATTGCTGCTTTATGAGCTTTATGATGGTAGTTTGAGTCTTGGCTGCTTCACTTCTGATCGGGCTCTCCTACGAATGCTCCTGGGAAAGCAATGAAAGATGGCCCAAGTACTTGGGGCCCCTGCATGCATGTTGGAGACCTGGAAGATGCTCCTGGTTCCTGGCTTTGGACCAGCTCAGCTCTAACTGTTGTGGACATTTGGGGAGTGAACCAGATAGCAGATCTCTCTCTTTCTCTCTCTACCTCTGCCTTCCAAGTAAAAATTTAAAAATGAAAGAAAAAAATTAATAAAAACTTAAAAGATGTCAGTTATGCCCAGATATGGGTACATTTAACTTAATTCCAGTGAATTGAAACCCAGTTGCTTTTGGTTAAAATTGATGAACTGATTCTAAAATGTAGGTAGAAATTTTTAAAAATTAGATGGAGTTAGCTAAAGCAATCTTTTCTTTAAAAAGATTATTTTTATTTGAAAGGCATATTTACAGAGAGGGGAGACAGAGATCGTCCACTAACTGGTTCATGCCGCAAATGGCTGCAGTGGTCAGAGCTGGTCCAACGTGAAGCAGAGCCAGGAGCTTCTTCCACAGGTCTCACAAGGGTGTAGGGGTCCAAGGACCTGAGCCGTCCTCATCTACTTTCTCAGTCCATAAGCAGAGAGTTGGATAGGCAGTAGAGCAGTCGGGACAAGAACTGCTGCCCAAGTGGTTGCCTTGAAAGTGGAGGATTAGCTGGCTACATCCAAGTGTGTTGGCCCTAGCTAAGGCAGTCTTGTTTTTGTTTTGTTTGGCTTTGTTTTTGTTTGACTTTTATTTTAGGATAGTTTTTATTGATTAATTGTTTTCCATGATACAGTTTTGGAGGTAAGGGTTCATCCTTCCATCTCTCCCATCTTTCCTTCCTTTCTTCCATTTTCCCCTTCTGCCATTTTCTCTCATAGAGCAATCTTCAAACAAAAACCAAAACCAAAAAAATAAAAGTTGCAGATTGGCACCCTGGTACAGTGAGATAAGCCACAGTCTGAAATGCTGATGTCCTGTATGGTAGGGGATGAAGTCTTGGCTGTTCTTCCCCCCCAGGCTCTTTGCTGATGAGTGAGGGATGACCCAAGTGCCTAGACGTCTGCTCCCCCGTGGGAGTCCTCAGTGGAGTTCCAGGCTCCTTCCAGGCTTTCTGACCCTTGGGGCCATTTGGAATTGAGCCACTGGATGGAAGATGCCTCTCTCTGTCTCTTTCTCTGTTTCTTTGACTCTCTGCAATTCTGCCTTTCAGATATATAAATAAATCTTTAAAAAAAAAAAGGTACTGAAGATGTGCAAATTTTAAAATAAAGTTGATGAAGAATGCATGAGCTTTAATTAGCATTTTAGCTTCAGTTATTTGCATGTTAATATTTTAAATTGGTCAAACAAACCTTTAGCAATGAAAAAAAGTTGGAAAATGTGTATCCTGGATTTCAGTATTTAATTCTCAAACTACAAAAACACAACATTGTGATATTGGAGAAGGGTGGACAGAATCAGTGGAAAGAGAAACATGCCCACCTATACATAGGTTAGATTCTGGGTCTCCCATGTGGCGTCAGGGGCCCAAACACTTGCACCATTCTCTGCTGCTTTCCCAGGCGCTTTAGAAGGGAGCTGGATCAGAAGTGGAGCAGAAGGGACATGAACTGGTACCCATACAGGATGGTGACATCATAGATGATGGCTTTACCTGCTTTTTACTTGCCTCAAGCATAAACTTTTCTAATGGGTCATAAACCTAAATACAAAATCCCAAACTACAGAAGTTGTAGAAGAAAGCAGAGGGAAAAAAGAATTTGTAACCCTCCAATAGGCAACATTTCTTAGTTTACAACATCATCCAAGTTAAGAATATGTACTCTGAAAGATAACAGAAAAAAAAATGAAAAGTGAAAACAGAATGAGAGATTATCATAATATTAAGCTCGTTTGTAGTTTGATAGTGGATAACTTAGTTGTAATTGAAAGTACAGTTGATTTGATAACAAATTTTTTAATTAACTCGAATTATTGTTAAGATCAAATGAAAGGACTTTAAATTTTTATTTTGTGTGAAAGGCAGACAGACAGATCTACCTACTGATTCACTCAAATGCCTTTTCCAGAAGGTACAGAAAAGGCTGGACCTGGAGTTCAGCCACTTGGGCTGCCCACATTCCACAGTGAAATATCAGTTTGAGTTCTGGCTCCTCTGCTTCCTATGCAGCTTCTTGCTATTGCAAGTGCTTGGGGGTACTGCCACTCGTGTGGGAGACCCAGATGGAATTCTGGTGTCTAGACTTCAGCCTGTCCCTGCCCTATGTTGGTCGGCTTTTCATCAGTGTAGTAGGTACCAGAGAGGAGCTATTTATTCAGGAGGCTTTCTTTGGCTCATAATTTTGGACCTTCACTGTCAAGATTGGGTGGCCCCAGTGGTCTGGCATCTCTTGAGGGCAACAGAGGAGGGGGGTCACATGGTGTGGGAAGCTGAGGGGGAGCAGTAGGCCCAATCTGGCTTTTATGCCAGGACTACCTTCCATGGGCATGCTTTTGTGACTTAAAGCTAGATATACTTAGCTGGGCCCACTTCCTAGATACCATAATTGGATCAATCTATCCACTGTTACTGTAAGACTTTGGGGACCAAACCTTAATGACTCGGGTCCCTTGGAGGGCACCCAAACTAATACCGAAACTGTAACAATAAGGCCTGTTAAATTTTTGAGGTATTTAATGAGAAAATTATTTACACAAGAACATTGGTAACTAAAATGGAGTCCAGGCTGCATGTTTGAGATGATGTTTAGCATGCCTGGGTTTGAGTCCTGGCTCTGCTTAGGAGTCCAGCTTCCTGCAGGTGATGGCCCAAGTAGTTAGATTACTGCTCTCACATCTCCCCTCCAAGACTCATTCCCAGTGCCTGGCTCCAGCTCCTGCAAACACATAGGGAATGAATCAGTAGGTGATGGGACATGAACTGGTACCCATACAGGATGGTGACATCATAGATGATGGCTTTACCTGATGATGGCTTTACTGTCTCTCCACTGCTATCACTCTGCCTTTCAGATAAGTAAATAAAATGGAGTCTGGCAAATGAAGGACTGTAGATAAATGCTTTTTATAAAGGATATATTTGCAACATGAATGAAAGTAACTACTAGATTTTTGTGTTGAAAGACATGCGAGAGTTAAAGTTACGGAGAAAATTCTTTGATCGTCAAAAATTAGGATCAATGTGTCCTTAACCAAGTAATGAAAACGCTTGAATTTCTATACAGATGAACACAGTATCTCTAGTAAAAGAGCTATACGATGGCCCGATGTGGCAACCTAGTGGGTAAAGTCCTCACCTTGCATTTGCCGGGATCCCATATGGGTGCTGGTTCTAATCCCAGCAGCCCTGCTTCCCACCCAGCTCCCTGCCTGTGGCCTGGGAAAGCAGTCAAGGATGGCCCAAAGCCTTGGGACCCTGCACCCACGTGGGAGACCTGGAAGAGGCTCCTGGCTTCAGATGGGTGCAGCTCCAGCCGTTGTGGCCGCTTGGGGAGTGAATCATCGGACATCATCCTCTGTCTCTCCTCCTCTCTATATCTGACTTTCCAATAAAAATAAAATAATTTTTTTTTTTTTTAAAAAAGGGCTGTGTAAGAAAGCCCATAGCATAGTGCTTAGTATACATATAAGTTTATAATAGATGTTTTTAAATGAGAATTTCTTAAGATCTCTGTATTTCAAATAGATTTGTTTCCTGTGAGTAAAACTGAACTTTATCTCTACTTCTAATGAAAAATATTATAAATCAAATAAAATAATTATTTCAAGTGTATTAAACAATTTTCTTACCGATTTTCCTTTTGTGTTTTTAATAGATCAATGTAAGAGTAACGACGATGGATGCTGAGCTGGAATTTGCCATCCAGCCAAATACAACTGGCAAACAACTTTTTGATCAGGTATTGTTTAACCTCCTGAAGTATGAAACTTTTTGACAGGATAGTGTGGATTCTCTGACGTTCTTTATGTTCTTCTGTGTTTAATAAACTGTCATGCAACATTGTTTTCATCCGTAAGTTTCCCACAGTATGCAATCAAATGTCTTGAGTAACTCTAGGGATATTCTTTCTCATTCCTACATTTGTCCTTAATAGGGCTCCTGAAAGTAGCTAACAGTGTTGATTTGATATCTGCTATTAAAGTCATCGTGACGGTGACAAAAGGCATTAGATGTTACAGTATGTAGTTCTTGAACAGAATGGGTGGAGATCCTAGACAGCATCGGAGGAGCAAAGGCAAGGGGAATTACAAACTATGAGGAGACAAGTAGTAAGAATTTGATGTCATAGGCTTATAATAGGTTAAGGATCTTGAACTACAAATCTTTTTTTTTCCTCAGTTTTAGTGCAAATTAAGAGCCCGCTTTGGAGCATTAAAGAGAAAAAAATCCAAAAAGTCAGTGCTAAGAAACCATTTCCAGGATTATGATTTAATTGTGTAGACCTACTTGAGACCTTCTGTATTTTAATATTTGATCTTCCAAGTAATGCTGTTCTGTAATGTTGCAAGTAGACGAGTTTTACTGTGAAAAGTAAGATACTGATACCTGCAGATGAAGTAAGAAAGTGAAGAGGCAATTATAAAGAGAGCAAGGGGTCCTTTTTAAAAATAATTTTTTGAAAAATTTTTTGAAGGAGTTATAGAAGGAGAGACAGATGGGGTCTTCCATCCAGGTGTACTCCCCAGATGGCTGCAGGGAACAGTGCTGGGCAGTCCAAAACCAGGAGGCAGGAACTTCATCCAGGGCTGCCACATTGGGTATCAGCGTCCCAGACACTTGGGACATATTCTGCCCTTACCTGGGAACTGGGTTAGAAGTGGAACAGCCAGGATATGAGCTGTATAGGATGGCAGCATCTTAGGTGGGGGCTTTACTGTTACTCCACAACACTAACCCCTACAAAGCCTATCTTACTTGAATGTGAATAGAATTAACATTTATTGTACTTTATAGTAAACTGAAATGTTATTTACAGTAAATTAAATGTTTGTGAGATAGCTAGACTCTAATTAGCAAATGAGTTTGTTTTGGTAGTAGTGTGTACTGAGAGAAAATACTTCAGTGTCTGGCAAAGTAAAATTACTTTCATTTGAATGTAATAAAAAAAATGAGATTTATTAGGGTGCAGTAATAGTAGGTGGGGGCTCTGGAGCCGCACTGACTTGGCAGACTTACCTGTAGCCATTTCACTTTGGACAAATTAATCTCTGTCTGAATTTTCTCATTTGTATAATTAGGATGATAACGTTACTGCTTCATTGACTTGTGAGAATTAAATGAGAATCCATATAAAAGTATTTAGAATAGAACTTAATAATTTTCATATAAATACCTGCTATCAAGTATACACTCATACAATCATACTGTAATGAAGACCTAGATTACTGAGTATTCGTCACTTGATCTTAGCCAAAAGGCCGAGAAGTGGTGTTCTTAACTGATAGGTGCACTTTTTGGCAGTTCCTTACTTGCTCTTCTGTTTCTTGAGAACTTATCTTGAGCCTAAAAGCAAGGATCTAAAACCAGGCTTTATCATGGGTATAGGGCATTCCTGTGATAGGCTCAGAAGCTGGCAGCAGACTGGATCCTCTGAAATGGGAATACATGGCTTCATACCCACCATGGGGAACTACTAGGGTGCAAGAAGTGACTGAGTTGTGTGTGTGTGTAACATATTTTTGTATAAAGGGTCATATAGAGCTCTTCTATCTGCTGGTTCACCCCCTGAAGCAGATGATCAGTGGTTAGAGCTGGGCCAGTCTGAAGCCTGAGCCCAGAGTGTTTCCAGGTCTTTCACTTGGGTACAGGGGCCCAATGACTTGGACCATCTTCAGCTGTTTTCCTGGGTGCCTTAGCAGAAAGCTGGGTTGGAAGTGGAGCATCCAGGACTGGAACCATTGCCATATGCTGATATGGTAGAAGGTGGCTTAACCTGCTGCACCATATTGTCAGTTCCATTTGTATTTTTATGTTTCCCAAATTCTTTTTAAAATTTGTGATTGTTAATGTATTAACATGATAGTTTGTCCGTCATTCATGACATTGTAGGTGTATACACTGGTAGAAAGTCCAGCATCCTAATGTTAGGATATATTTAACAGTTTCATTGGCAGTTCATTTTTTTTGTTCAGGAGTAGATACATACTGCAATATATCTTTTTTTTTTTTTTATTATTATTATTTTTTTTTATTGTTGCTTACATTATATTATGTAGTACAGTTTTATAGGCGCTGGGGATCCCCCCCACCCCTCCCATTCCCCTCCCCCCATGGTGGATTCCTCCACCTTGTTGCATAACCATAGTTCAAGTTCAGTTGAGATTCATTGCTTGCAAACACATGCCTAGCATAAAGTTCAGCGTCTTATTGTCCAGATAAGTTCAGTGGCCTCTTGGGGAGACCTTCTATGGTCTGAAGATAGGTCTAACAGAGTAAAGATCCAGTCAGTTAAAAGCCCCAACAAGGCCTCAGTATCATTATACAACATTATGGAATTAATTGACATAGTATTGGGTAAACTATATGTTAAAAATAATGCAAGTTCCATTCTTCGAAACATCTGGGTTGAGACAGTATCAATGACAGGTTCGGAAAATAACAAACAACCAAACAAAAAATTACAAGTTAAATCAAGGCAAACATGTGGTATCTAATCTTTTGGGATTCGCTCATTTCCCTTAGCATTATAGTTTCCAGTTGTGCCCATTTAGCCACAAAGAACTGCATTTTGTTTTTTTTAATAGCTGAGTAGTATTCCATGGAGTAGATGAACCAAAGCTTTCTTATCCAATCTTCTGCTGATGGGCATTTCGGTTGCTTCCATGTTTTCGCAATTACTGATTGTGCTGCAATGAACATGGGGATGCATGTTGGTTTGTCGTAAAACAGGTGTTTTGGATATATTCCTAGGAGTGCTATTGCTGAGTCATATGGTATGCAGATTTTGAGTTGTTTGAGTGTTCTCCAGACTGATTTCCATAAAGGCTGTACCAATTTGCAGCTCCACCAGCAGTGGAGTAGGGTTCCTTTTTCCCCGCATCCTCGCCAGCAAGCGTCGTTGGTGTTCTTGTTTATGTGGGCCAATCTTACTGGTGTTAGGTGGTACCTCATCGATGTTTTAATTTGGATTTCCCTTATTGCTAGGGAGCTGGAACATTTTTTCATATGTTTGTTTGCCATTTGGACTTGTTCCTTTGTGAAATGTTTGCCCATTTCCCGTGCCCATTTCTTGAGTGGCTTGTTTGTTTTGGTTTTTTGGTTGTTTTGAAATTCTTTGTATATCCTGGAAATTAGCCCCCTATCGCCTATATCGTGTGCAAAGATCTTCTCCCACTCTGTGGGTTGCTTTTTTACTTTGTTGATTGTTTCCCTTGCTGTACAGAAGCTTCTTAGTTTGATGAGGTCCCATTTGTTTATTCTGTTCTCAACTGCTATTGCTTTTGGTGTCCTTCTTAGAAAGTTGGTACCTACTCCTAGGTCTTGCAGGGTATTTCCTACATTTTCTTGCAAGAGTTTGAAGGTTTCTGGATGTAGGTTTAGGTCTTTTATCCATGTAGATTGGATCTTAGTGTATGGTGATAGATGTGGGTCTATCTTTTTGTTTCTACAGGCTATCAGCCAGTTGTCCCAACAACATTTACTAAAGAGTCCTTCCCACTTGCTTAAGCTGTCATTGGTCTTTTTGTCAAAGATTAATTGGCTGTATCTGTGTGGATTCCCTTTTGGTGCTTCTATTCTGTTCCATTGATCTTCCTTTCTGTCTTTGTGCCAGTACCAGGCTGTTTTGATAACCACTGCTCTATAGTATGTCCAGAGGTCCGGGATTGTGATTCCCCCTGCTAATTTCTTATTTTTCAGGATGGTTCTAGCTATTCGTGGTTTTTTGTGTTTCCAGATGAACTTTTGAATCATTGTATCCAGTTCCGTGAAGAATGTTTTGGGCAATTTGATTGGAATTGCGTTGAAAATGTATATTGCTTGTGGTAGTATAGACATTTTAATGATATTGATTTTGCCTATCCAGGAGCACGGGATGTTATTCCATCTTTTGAGGTTTTGTTCAATTTCCTTTTTAAATAGTTTGTAGTTTTCTTCGAATAGGTCTCCTACACTTTTGGTTAGATTTATTCCCAAATACTTCATACTTCTCTCTGCTATTTTGAATGGTATCCTGTTGGTTAGATCTTCTTCCATCTTGGTGTTATTTGCGTACACTATGGCTGTTGATTTTCGTTCGTTAATTTTGTACCCCGCCACTCTGCCAAACTCTCGTATAAGTTCTAGCAGTTTCTGTATTGAGTCTCCTGGTTTTTCTATGTATAGGATTATGTCATCTGCATATAGTGAAAGCTTGACTTCTTCGTTTCCTATACGTATGCCTTTGATTTCTTTTTCTTGTCTTATGGCCTCTGCAAGTACCTCTAGGACTATGTTGAATAGCAGTGGTGATAGTGGGCACCCTTGTCTTGTTCCAGATCTCAGTGGGAAGGGTTCTAGCTTTTCTCCATTCAGTATGATACTGGCGTTGGGTTTTTCATAAATTGCTTTAATTATGTTGTGGATTTTCCCATCTATGCCTACTTTGGCTAGAGTTTTTAGCATGAAGAGGTGTTGGATTTTGTCAAAAGCTTTTTCTGCATCTTGCAATATATCTTTACTTTGTAGTATACTTACGTATTTTGCGTGAAGGTTGCCTGATATCAGAGAGAATATATGGTGTTTGTCTTTTTGAAATTGGTTTATTTCACTGATTATAATGATCTCTAAATTGGGGCCATTTTGTTGTAAACGGTAGGAAAACTTCTATTTGAAAGGCAGAGTGACAGAGAGGGAGAGACAGCTCTCCTATCCACTGGGCACAGGAGCAAGGCATGTCTTCTGGGTCTCATGTGTGCAGGGCCCCAAGGATTCAGGTCATCCTCCACTGCTTTGCCAAGTGCTAAGCAGGGAGCTGAATTAGAAGTGGAATTGCTAGAATTTGATGTGATGCTGGCAACACATGCTGTTGATTAAACAGTTATGCTGCAGACCAAAACTATGGAATATTTTAATATTCAAAAATGTCTGTCACTTAAGATTTGGTGCTCAAGCAGATGCTTAGTCTGGTGGCAGAGTGCCCACATCCTGTGTTGGAATCTTTGGTTTTGTTTCCTGACCCCAACTTCGTGATAGTGTAGACCCGCTGAAGAAGCAGTGTTAGCAAGTAATTGAATTTCTGCCATCTACATAGGAGATCTGGATTGTGTTTCTGGTTCCTTGCTTTGGCTCTGGACATTTGATGGAACAAATTTAGCATGGAGCTGGATTGGAAGCTGGGTAGCTGGGAAAGAAACTGGCACCCATGTGGGATGCTAGACTGTGGGCAGTGGCTTAACTCACTACTTCACACCTCTGGCTCCCGGCTGCTCATTCTGATCCATCTCCCTGCTGACGGCCTGTGTCACCCCCGTGGGAGCCCAGATGAAGCTCCTGCTTGTTTTGACCTGGCGCAGCCCTGGTCATTGCTAACATCTGGACAGTGAGTCAGTAGGTGGAAGACCTCCCTGTCTGTCTCTGCCTCTCTCTTTGTAACTTGGACTTTGAAATGAATAAAGGAGTCTTTAAAAATGGATTAAAAGGATTGAAATAACTACAAAATTAAGTGTAAGAAGGAAACTTTAATTTAGAAAAGACTTTTATAGCAAACGGATACACATATGTTTTATTCTTTTTAAAGTATATGAACATGTAGTTATAATGTGAATGTTGAATTGAAATTGGCTTTTTTTTCTTTTTGGTAGGTGGTGAAGACAGTTGGTTTGCGTGAAGTCTGGTTTTTTGGGCTGCAGTATGTAGACAGCAAAGGTTATTCTACATGGCTTAAACTAAATAAAAAGGTAAAATATGCATGAAGATGTTAAGCTAGCATTCAGGTTGGTTGGTACTAGAAAAACTTAGGGGTTTTACTGATTGTAAGGCTTCTTTGGCTGTTATTTATGTAATCGTTAAGAGGTACATGTTTCAATACAAATAGACCATCTTCAAAGACAAAGTAGTTGTCCTCTTTGAATACCTAGCACATAAGAAAATTATTATTTTTAATTAAAACAATGTTTAAATTTTTAAAAATTTTAACAATTTTTTTAAAAATTTCATTTATTTTTATTAGAAAGTGAGGTTTACAGTTAAAAGGAGAGTGAGAAAGATCTTCCGTCCGCTGGTTCCCTCCCCAAGTGGCTACAGTGGTTGGAGCTGAGCTGATCTGAAGCCAGGAGCTTCCTTCCTGGTCTCCCACATGGGTGCAGGGTCCCAAGGCTTTGGGCCATCCTCAACTGCTTTCCCAGGCCACCAGCAGGGAGCTGGATGGGAGGCAGAGCAGCTGGGATAAGAACTGGCACCCATGTAGGATCCCAACTGATGCAAGGTGAGGACTTTAGCCACTGGGCTACTGTGCCGGCCCTATTTATTTTTTAAGCTTTTAAAATTTCTATTGGAAAGGCAGATTTACCAAGAGAAAGAGAAAAACCTTCCTTTGGTGGGTCACTTCCCAAACAGCTCGAAGTACCAAAGCTGAGCTGATTTGAAACCAGGAGCTAGGAGGCTTTTTCTTGGTCTCTCATGGCAATGCTTTGAGCCATCTTCCTCTGCTTTCCTGGGCCACAAGCAGGGAGCTGGATGGCAAGTGGAGCAGCTGGGACATGAGCCAGTGCTCATATGGGGGGATGCCAGCGCTTGCAAGTGAAGGATTAGTTAAGTTGAGACATTGTGCATGCACAAGGAAATATTATTTTAAAGCAAGTATGACATGTGGTATATATCTCAGTACTTTGATCTTGATTTGCATATCTGTAGGGTAAGCTTTTTAAGACTATGAAGGGAAGTTTTCAGTGTTAGAAATGAGATATATTTACAGGTCATGTTCATCAGTATAGACTTTTTTTATGTTTATAGATTTAGAATCTTTTTCATTTGCTACTTTCTTCCAAAAGCAGCTTGATATGACGAGATTGAATTGTGAAATGTGTTTTTGGTTAAACTTAAAATTACTATTGCAGGTCACCCAGCAAGATGTTAAAAAAGAAAATCCATTACAGTTCAAATTTAGAGCTAAATTCTTCCCTGAAGATGTTTCTGAGGAATTAATTCAAGAAATAACCCAGAGACTTTTCTTCTTGCAAGTTAAAGAAGCCATCTTAAACGATGAGATCTATTGTCCACCAGAAACTGCAGTTCTTCTGGCTTCCTATGCTGTTCAGGCCAAGTATGGAGATTATAATAAAGAGATTCATAAACCGGGCTACCTGGCTAATGACAGACTCCTGCCTCAACGGTAAGTGAAATATGCCTTCATGTTATATTCACCAAGAGATAGCTTCTAGAAGTTTGTAAATCAAACGTTGCCATCTGCATCAGAGTGTATACTTTAAAAATTATAGCCTAGGTTTCCCATTTGACTACCACATTTTCTTCAATTAATAGATTTTAGTGGTAATGTATGTGGGATAGATTAAAAGTTGCCATGATCTGAAGGAGGAGGCGTTTTTGATACCCTCCTTCTATATGAAATGGCTGAACAGAAAAAAAGTATAACCTGGCAGGTCTGTTGATTGATGTGTTTGTTTAGAGTTGATGCATATCACGCCCTTCCAGTCGCCCAACCTCAGTAGTTAATGGAGGAAGCGATGGCTTGGGCATGGGGGAAAGATTTAACTGTTGCTGCTAGGAAACAGTTCTAACACTGGCAAATATATGCTTAGTGTGTGAATAAGGAGTGGTTGTCTATATTTCCTCTGCAGATATAAGGGTCAAGTTTTCAAAAAAATTTTAGACTACTCTTCAGACTCATAAGCTATTACTCTAATGGAGCATCATGCTTCCCCTGAAACAGCTGTTTTGAAATATGGCTTAGGAAACAATTAGAAGATGTAGGCTTTTTTAAAAAAAAGATTTCTTTTTATTACAAAGTCAGATATACAGAGAGAAGGAGAAACAGGAAGATCTTCTGTCCGATGGTTCACTCCCCAAGTGAGCGCAACGGCCGATGCTATGCCGATCTGAAGCCAGGATCCAGGAACTTCTTCCAGGTCTCCCACACGGGTGCAGAGACCCAAGGCTTTTGGGCTAAACTTGGCTGCTTTCCCAGGCCACAAGCAGGGAGCTGGATGGGAAATGGGGCTGCCGGGATTAGAACTGGTGCCCTATGGGATCCCAGCGCATTCAAGGCGACGACTTCAGCTTTTAGGCAACCACGCTGGGCCCCATATAGGCTTTTAAGTACAGATTTACATGATCTTAGGTCCACAGCCTAAAATCTCTGATCCTTCATATTTAAATGCAGAGTTAGCATAATAATAATTATCTGTTTTCCTTCCAGTTTTTTTATTACACTTCGTGAATCTGGTTTTCATTTTAAACTGTCATAAATGTTATTTGGTAGTACTACCTGTGAAACTTAGAGAATTTAAAATCAGAAACTACATTAAAATATATATATATATATTTTAATTTAGATTTTGGTAGCTCACATTTGTGATGCTAGAAAGTATATTGAAATACTTCTATTAGAACCTATAGAAGGTTTTTCTTAGTTTCCTAGGAAAATCTTGACTCTCAGGACTGATGTTACAGATGATAAAATCATTACCTGTGCTTCTGACATTGTGTATAGATCTCAATTCAAAACCCAAATGCTTGGGCCCAGTGTGGTAGCCTAGTGGCTGATGTCCTTGCCTTGCCTGCCCTGGGATCCCACATGGGTGCCGGTTTGTATCCCAGCTGTTCCACTTCCCTTTTAGCTCTCTGCTTATGGACTGTGAGGGTGGTAGGGGACAACCCAAACCGCCGTAGGAGACCTGGAAGGAGCTCCTGGCTCCTGGCTTCGGATCAGCTCTGCTCTGTTGTGGCCACTTGGGGAATGAATCAGTAGACGGAAAATCTTCCTCTCTGTTTCTCCCTCTCTCTGTAAATCTGACTTTCTAATAAAAATAAGTCTTAAAAACAACAACAGTTGCTCCACTTGCAATCTAGCTCATTGCTAATGTGCCTGGGAAAAGTGCTTGGGCTTTCATGGGAGAGGTGAGTAAGAAGCTCCCGACTCCTGGCTTTGGTCTGCCCTGGAGCTAGTTTTGGCAGCCATTTGGGCAGTAAACCAACAGACAGAAGGTCTGTGTCTGCTTTCTGCATAACTCTGACTTTATAATAAGTAAGTGTTTAAAAAAATTCCTGAATTTCACAATTCCTGTTCATATACAAAACTGTATATTGTTATGTTAAAATTTCAGTTTTATACTATTTTCTTTTTCATAGCTAATATTGAGAAAGAATTCATTTTTATTAAGTTTAATTTGTTTATAGACTAATTTTGACTATTGCGTTACCTGTTGATTTTTTTTGGTTTGTTTTTTAGTATTTATTTGAAAGGCTTGGGGGAGAGAGAAAGAAACAAACCAATAGGCACACATCTATCCGTACATCTCCAGCCACTGGTTTACTCCCCAAATGGCCGGAGTTGGGCTGGTCTCAAGCCGGGAGCCAGGAACCACTTCTGGGTTTCCCACCTAGGTAACAGGCACTGAAGCACATGGCCCATTTGCTACTGAAGTGGGGTACCCAGGATGCTGTCACCCTAACGTGGGATTCTAGTATCGCAGGTGTCCATTGCACTGGATCCATTTACTTACTTATTTTGGCTAACCTAGCAGTACTGAGGAACCACTTATTTTGGCTAACCTAGCAGCACTGAGGAACCACTAAGTACAGTAGCTTTAATTACAGTGATAATATCTCAGAATCATGTGAATTGTCACCAAGGGTCAGAGAGGTAACTGTTAGGCTGTTTTTCTGAGTTTGTTTCCTGTTGCTGTAAGAGAACACCTGACACTGGGACCAGCATGGTGATGCTGCAGGATGATCCTCTCTGGAGCACCACCGTCCTGTTTGGGCACTGGCTGCTCCGCTTCTGATCCAGCTGCCTGATTATATGCCTGGGAGGGTGGCAGTGGTTGGGCCACTGCACCCACATGGAGGAAACTCCTCGCTCCCAGATCCAGACTGGCTCAGCTTTAGCCATTGAGACCGTTTGGGGAGTAAACCAGTGGATGAAAGATTTCTGTGTCTCTGCCCCTCTCTGTAACAGTTCCAAGTAAAATAAATTAATCTTTTTTTTTTTTTTAATACTGGAAGGTATTTCTTTCTTCTTCTTCTTCTTCTTCTTTTTTTTTTTTTAAGATTTATTTTATTTTTATTGGAAAGGCGGATATACAGCGAGGAGAGACAGAGAGGAAGATCTTCTGTCTGATGATTCACTCCCCAAGTGAGTGCAACGGCCGATGCTATGCCGATCCAAAGCCAGGAGCTTCTTCCAGGTCTCCTGCGCGGGTACAGGGTCCCAAAGCTTTGGGCCGTCCTTGACTGCTTTCCCGGGCCACAAGCAGGGAGCTGGATGGGAAGCGGGGCCGCTGGGATTAGAACCGGTGCCCATATGGGATTCTGGGCGTGCAAGGCGAGGACTTAACCACTGCACCATCGCACCAGGCCCAATTAATCTATTTTTTAAAAAGCTTAGTTTTAGTGAGAATTCAGATTTACAATGAGGAGAGACAGAAAGATCTTCCCTGCTGGTTCACTCCCCAGGTGACCTCACTGGCTGGAGCTGAGCCAATCCAAAGCTTCTTCCGGGTCTCCCACCTGGGTAAAGGGTCCCAAGGCTTTAGGCTATGTTCCATTGCTTTTCCAGGTCACAATTAGGGAGGTGTATTGGAAGTGGGACAGCCAGGACCCAAATGGCACCAATAAAGGATCCTGGAGCATGCAACGCGAAGACTTAAGCCACTAGGCTACCACGCTAGGCACTATTTTTCCTTTTAAAAAATGTTTATTTTCTCTTGTTTTTGGAGGATGTCTAGATGGGCCAGCTGCATCTGGTTTGCTTCTGGAGGGCCTGTCTCATGCGTCTGTGTAGAAGAGAGGAGAGAAAAGGGGCCAGATGATTTCTCATAGCTTACTCTGCAAAACTAGCCCAATCTGCCAAGAAGTAATGCAGTTGTGCAGGAGAGGCATTTAATCCCTCTTAAAACTCTCAGTGCCACCTTCATTCAGTATGCGTTCTGATGCAGATAAACTCTACTCAGACCATGAACTGTTCTTCTGGTTTTGTTATTGCAACATCACCCCTTGTTTAGATTTCCTGAAGCACTGAATTGGGTAACCAAATGACTAGTACAGTGAATTTCATTTCAGATAAGGATCAGTTTTTGTTGTTAATTGAGATACAATTTAGGTATATTAAAATATAGATAAGGTTTTGAAATCCAAACATGTGATCCATTTTCAAGATGTTGTCCATAAAAGAATAAGCTTTTTCTGAAGTATAATATTGGTTATTGTTCTTTCATAGAGATAGACCATATTGTAGTAATTGGCTTACGTTTAATAATCAGGATTAAAAAACACCCTGGAACACTAGGATCAAACTAATTCTAATTTGCAGGTCTCTTGTTACTTTAGAGTTAATAATTTATTACAGAGGACTAGACTAAGCTTAAAAGAGACATAGGCATCTTCATTAATTGTAAATCAAAAAATTATTCATCTGAAGAAAATAGCTTCACAGTGATTGGTTTATCCGATAAATGAAATAGGGCACACTGCCACTCAGTGTCCACCTGTGCAGGAAGGGGATGGGTAACCAGAAGCTGTGCGCTGATGAGAAATGAACATTGCTTCTGAAGAACGCTGATTTTTGTATGAAAACCCCCTGCAGGGGTCTGGTCTCACACTGTGGTCCAGCTGGCTGTGATGTGCTCATCAGTGCTGTTATGCGCTATGTTTTCCTTTGAAGAGCAAGATTTACAAAGTTTTACATGCTGGCTTTTTTTTTTTTTTCTTGTTTAAAGGTTTTTTTATACGAAAGAGTTAAAGAGGGAGGGAGAAACAAGATCTTTTATCTGCTGATTCACCCCCTGCATGATAGCAATGACCAGAGCTGAGCTGAGCTGATCCAAAGCCCGTAACCAGGAGCTTCTTCCAGCTCTCCTGCTTGGGTGTGGGAGCTCAAGTACTTGGGCCACTCTGGTACTTTTTAGTAGAGCTGGATTGAAAGTGAAGCAGACAGGTTCTGAACCAGTGTTTCTATGGAATGTCAGCTTTACCCCCTATGCCACATCCCCAGCCTGTAGATTTCCATTTTTAAAAAGATTTATTTATTTGAAAGGCAAAGTTACAGAGAGAGAGACTGACCAAGACAGAGATGTCTTCCATCCTGAATGGCCACAACTGCCAGGGCTTGCACTACACCAAAGTCAGGAGCTCCGTCTAAGTCTCACAAGTGGCTGGTAGGAAGCAAAGCACTGGACCATCTTTTGCTGTTTTCCCAGGGTCATCAGCAGGGGGCTAGATGAGAAGTGGAGTAGCTGGGACCCAAATGTGTGCCCGTGTGGGATGCCCACATGCGATTGCCCATGTCTCAGGCAGCATTCTTACCTGTTATCACCACAGTGGTTTTTTCTACATCCCAGCATTCTGAGTGATTGATGGGTGATTGGTAATACCTTTGATCAAGATAGGGAGAAAAGTTTGAATTAAGTTTTGAATTAGTGAGTTTGAAATACATACAGTAGAACCAGGAGAGATAGCAGTATTCATTGGCATCTGTGGGCCCAGGTTTTTTTCTTTTTGTTTTTCAAAGATTGATTTCTTTCTATTTGAAAGGCAGATTTAAAGAGAGAGGAGAAGAGACGGAAAGAGAACTCTGTCACCTGCGGGTTCACACCACAAGTGGCCTTGGCTGCTAGACCTGGACCAGTCTGAAGCCAGGAGCTTGGAGCTTCGTTGGGGTCTGTCATGTGGCTACAGGGGTCCAAGGACTTGGGCCATTTTTCCCCTGCTTTCTCAGGAGCAATAGCTCAGCTGGACAAAGTGGAATTCAAACCAGCGCCCATATGTGATGCTGACACCATAGGCAGAGGCTTAATTTACTATGCCATGGTATGAGTTCCTGGGTCCATTTTTTTTTTTTTTAAGATTTTGCTTTGTTTTTATTGCAAAGACAGATACAGCGAAGAAGAGACAAAGATCTTCCACCTGCTGGTTCATTCCCCAAGTGGCCACAGCGGCTGGAGCTGTGTCAATCCAGAGCCAGTTGCTTCCTTCCTGGTCTCCCACGTGGGTACAGTGTCCCAAGGGTGATTCTCTAATGCTTTCCCAGACAAGGGAAAGGAAGCTGGAAGGGAAATGGAGCAGCCAGAACATGAACCAGCACCCATATGGGATCCTGGCACATGCAAGGCGAGCACTTTAGCCACTAGGCTACTGCACCAGGCCCCTGGAGCCATATTTTTTTAGAGCATTGTGTGCTAGAGATTTAGTGGAGAGTACTCAGGAAACAGATGATAACACATTGGAAAGAGGCCTGAAAGTATATGTGAGAAAAAACCCCTAGAGCAGTGTTTGAACCTTAACCTGCGGTTTTTTTTTTATTATTATTATTTAAAAGTTTTATTTTAAAGAAAGGGAAAGACAAAGAAAATGTCAGCTTCCATCGCCTGGTTCACTCCCTCAGTGGCTGTGGGTGCTGAGCCAGACAGTGTCGAGGCTAGGAGCCCAGAGCGCCATCCAGTCTTGCGTGTGGGTGGCAGGGACCCACGCACTTGGGCCATCTTCTGCCTCCTTGAGCACATTCACAGGCACAGCAATCAGAAGAAGCAGGGCTACCAGAGCCTCAGCTGGGGACTGTGATGGATGCCACTGCTACAAGTGGTGACTTAACCCCCATGCCACAACCGTGGCCCCTGAACCTCTACTTACGAGTGCAGAGGAGACAGCCTTTGAAGACTGCTGCAGGGGGAAAGTGGAACAATTCAGGAATGATACTAGATAATACCTTTGGAAAATAAGGGAAGATAATGCCTCCAGTATGTGAATGATCAGCACTGACAATACAAATAGGTTGAGCATAGGACAACTAAATTTAGTGTGTTGGGATAAGGAGATTGATAGTGAAGCAATTCCACAGTATTGGAGTTTGAAGACGGTGTATGGTTGTTTTCAGCTATAGGAATTAAGGTTAGTGGGCAGGCTATACTGTCCTTAAAAGATGCTTGGCTCCAAAAAGGGGGAAAGTTCTAGATTCATTCTTTACAGGGTGGTAGTGGAGTAATTGCTGGTTTTAATCATCTTATTCACTGTAGATTATTCAGTATTTCCTCACTGCTGGCCGTGGCCATGTCCAGGTGAGCAGCTGGCTACATTAGGTTATTCCTGGGGGGCTGACTTCATGACTCATCATGAGCCCCTGGTCCATACAGTAAGAGAATATACAGGCCAGAAAAGGGTGGAGCCCTGGCTGTCCTCGTGAGAAGACAAGATTTTTCTCCCCACAAGCAAGAGCTGGAAGGAGCCTGCATAAAGGAGCGATGCTGTCGTAGGAATATAATGTTTTGTCTGAGATCCAAGGAAGCTAAATAATTCAAACAGAAGATTCCTCTAATATTCTTTTATTCTCAGGAAATCTGAGTTTTACTCAGTTTTTTGCATAGTAAGATAACGTTTGTTGAAGGCTTATTTATTTAACGGACAGAGTGGCAGAGAAGGAGACAGAACCACCTTCAGTTTGTTGGCTCCCCAGATGAGTGCAGCAGCAGGTGCTGCTACGGCTGGAGAAGCCAGGAGCCAAGGGCCCCGGCCTGGTGTTTGACACAGTGGCATTACTTGGAGCATCTTTTGCTGCCTTCCAAGGTGCCGGAGCGGGAAGTTGGGTCATTAGAGGATCCTGGGACTCTCTAACAGTCACTCTGCCGCAATGCCAGCTCCGCGGTCAAACTGCAGATATTGCTGTCAGTAAGATAAGGTCTGGGAAGTAACCAGTAAAGAAAGGTGGGTAGTTAATTATATGACCCAAAGAAAAATCTGTGCATAAAATCATAATCTGTGCAGTTATTCTAAGTTGATCTGGTTGATGTGGTGTCAAACAGTAGTAGAAAACATACTTATGGGCCCGGTGCCATAGCCTAGTGCCTAAATCCTCACTTGCATGTACTGGAACCCCTTATGGGCTCTGTTTGTGTCCTCACTGTTCCACTTCCCATCCAACTCCCTGCTTGGGTCCTGGGAACGTAGTCAAGGTTAGCTAGGAGCCTTGGGACTCTGCACCTGAGTGGGAGACCAGGAAGGAAGCGTCTGGTTCTTGGCTTTGGATTGGCTCAGCAACAGCCGTCATGGCCACTTGAAGAATGAACCAGTGGATGGACGATCTTTCTGTAAATCTCCCTTTCCAATAAAAATAAATCTTAAAATGCTTATTTATATTTATTTATGTTAAAGCAAGGAACATTAGTAGGATAGACAACTTACAGGCTCTTGGGTGTTCACTAATACTTACTAGAAGTATTACCTTCATAAAAATGTAGTTAGCAAAAGTAAATTACATAGAATTTTTTTTTTGAAAGATTTATTTATTTATTGGAAAGTCAGATATACAGAGAGGAGGAGAGACAGAGAGAAAGATCTTTCGTCCAATGATTCACTCCCCAAGTGAGCGCAACAGCCGGTGCTATGCCGATCCGAAGCCAGGATCCAGGAACTTCCTCCGGTCTCCCACACGGGTGCAGGGTCCCAAGGCTTTGGGCCATCCTCGACTGCTTTCCCAGGCCACAAGCAGGGAGCTGGATGGGAAGTGGAGCTGCCGGGATTAGAACCGGCGCCCATATGGGATCCCGGTATGTTCAAGGTAAGGACTTTAGCTGCTAGGCCACTGCGCCGGGCCCAGTTATAAGAATTAGTAACTCTTGGGCCCGGCGCGGTGGCGCAAGTGGTTAAAGGTCCTCGCCTTGCACGCCCGGGATCCCATATGGGCGCCGGTTCTAATCCCGGCAGCCCCGCTTCCCTTCCAGCTCCCTGCCTGTGGCCCGGGAAAGCAGTCGAGGACGGCCCAAAGCTTTGGGAACCTGCACCCGCGTGGGAGACCCAGAAGAGGCTCCTGGCTTCGGATCGGCATAGTATCGGCCCGTTGCGCTCACTTGGGGAGTGAATCATCGGACGGAAGATCTTCCTCTCTGTCTCTCCTCTCTGTATATCCGCCTCTCCAATAAAAAAATAATAAAAATAAATCTTTAAAAAAAAAAAAAAGAATTAGTAACTCTGTTGTGAGACATGATGGCTTACTGACTAAATTCTCACCTTGAACATGCCAAGATGTCCTGTGGGTGCTGGTTCCCGTCCTGGCTGTTCCACTTCCCATCCAGCTCCCTGCTTGTGGCCTGGGAAAGCAGTTGAGGACGGCCCAAGGCCTTGAGACCCTGCACCTGCTTGGGAGATCCAGAAGAAGCTCCAGGCTCCTGGCTTCAGATTGGCTCAGTTACGGCCATTGAGGCCACTTGGGGAGTGAATTAGCAGACAGAAGATATTTATCTCTGTATCTCCTACTTTGTAAATCTACCTTTTCAAGAAAAATAAAATCTTAAAAAACTCTAGAATGCTGGTTTTTAGTCTTTTATTTTTCTATTAATAGTGAAAAGTCAATTTTTGTGTAAGTTTTGTCACTTCAAACATTTGAATTTGTATAAACGCTATCATAACTTGTTTGTATTTTAAATAAGATTCTTGGAAATATTATATTTTGAGGTAATTATATATTTACATGCATTTGTGAAAAATACTTAATCTTAAGTGTCGTTGTCCTAGCTTTCTTTTGTGGTAACGTCTTGTATGACCATGGCATTGTATCATAATGACATTGATCCAGTCCACATGTCCCAGGAAAGTATGTAACAATTTCATCACATGGATTTTGTGTGACAACCACAACAGTCCAACCGCTTAAGGAATTCTGTGTGTGTTTTTTTAAAACTTTTTCCATTTTTTTATGATATTGTTAATCTTTACATAGTTGATTAGGGTAGAAAAGATTCAAGGGCTTCAAGAAAGTGAGCAAGACGATTATTTGCACATTGTTTCCTTCATGTATTTGAGGAAAAGGGGATTATAAGGGAGAAGCCCCACCCAGTGTCCCACCCACCCCAGGTCCCTGTTGCGGGGCATGCTCCGACGGGCCAGCTCAAGTGATTACGATAGTTCAACAGCCATGAATCACCACCAGTCTCGTCGCTCCAAGCACAGGAGGTTGTTGAAGAATGCACTGATCGACATAGTCCATCTTAATTTTTTTCCTTCTAGGGTTTTGGAACAACACAAACTGACAAAAGAGCAGTGGGAGGAAAGAATACAGAACTGGCATGAAGAACATCGAGGAATGCTGAGGTATCTGGGAGGTTATTTCCTCTATTGTATGCATAAATATGAAACACTAAATTTTATGTTTGATGTTTACATAGTTGACAAGGAGGCATGCCCCTGAGGACACTGATAGGGTGGGGAGGATTGTGTATGGGGGAAGGAGGGTGGGACAAATGCTTCCAGTTCTCCTTGAGAAGCACTAAATTTTAATGCAAGGTGTTTTTTGGAATGTTGTTTGATTTGGGGCATTCCACCTACATATTACACTTAGCTTTTTTTCAACAGGGAAGATTCTATGATGGAATACCTGAAGATTGCACAGGATCTGGAAATGTATGGAGTAAATTATTTTGAAATAAAAAATAAAAAGGGAACCGAACTCTGGCTAGGTGTTGATGCTCTGGGTCTGAATATTTATGAGCATGATGACAAGTAAGTAAATTAGATGCACAGTGAACTAGTGATTATTTCTGTGGCCTTAAATGACTAGCAACTTCTGTCCTGTTTGTAAAAATCCTACTCGATCACCTTGATGTTTTAGGAGCTTGGTTAGTGGCCACGGGGACTTGAAGGTACTGTTTTCAGCACTTTGTACTTTGTTTACTCCTCTGTGAATTTATCAAATGATTTGCTTTTACTTGATATGTATTTATAAAAATTTGAATATATTAATTGTATTTGTTTTCAACAAAGAACTTATAGAAATAATCATAAAACTCTGTTCTTTGAAAAAGATCTAGTTATATAAACTCAGAATAGACTCAAACTCATTTAAAAGTCTTTCAGAATTAATTTAGGTGATGTAATTTTTTTTTTTGTTGTTGCTTTCAAATTTTTAAGTGATATAGAGAGTCATTCTATGTGTTCCATAGGTAAAGTTCTAAGAAGACGACCACGCCCATGTTCTCTCTTGGTATCCCCCTTTGCTCTCTATTCAGTAGTGCTTGCACACACATAATTTAAATCCACTCCAGCGACTTGATCTCTTGTAAGGAGAAGTTAGTAACAGTTTGTTCCATCTGTCAGCCAAGAATCATTATGTCCTTGTTAAAATATAGAATAAATGGGCTGAAATGAAAGTCTGTAAGAAATTTGGAATGCTGGGAGCATGAAGTTAGTACATGTATGTTTATTGTATTTAGGAGACATTTTTTGTAAGCCTCCTATATGTTGCAGTTTGCTTTGAATATTTTTGAACATGAGTAAAATAGAACATCTATATTATGCATAGTGAACACTATATTTTTGGTCAGATATTTATTACATGATTGATCAATATTGTACCCATATGCTGTGAATATAATTGATGTACAGATACATACATATAGAACACTTTAATGAGACTTTTTTAAAAAGATTTATTTTTATTGGAAAGTCACATATAGAGAGAGGAGGAGACAGAGAGGAAGATCTTCCATCTGATGATTCACTCTCCAAATGGCTGCAATGGCCAGAGCTGAGCCAGTCTGAAGCCAGGAGCCTCTTCTGAGTCTCCCACATGGGTACAGGGTTCCAAGGCTTTGGGCTGTCCTCAACTGCTTTCCCAGGCCACAAGCAGGGAGCTGGATGGGAAGTAGCACTGCTGAATTAGAACTGGCACCCATATGGGATTGTGGCACGTGCAAGACGAGGACTTTAGCCACTAGGCTACCATGCCAGGCCCCCTGAATCAGATTCTTACAGCACTTATTAGGAATAATATGTATGGATGTCTTTTAAATTATTTATCATGCCACATAAACATCCAAATCTATGGTAGTAAAGCCTTCTCCTATGAATTATTCTTCACTCTAAGCCAACTTCAGAATTTTTAAAAATAAAATAGACATTTCAAAGAATAAAAGAACATTTTGCTGCAGTCAAGTTTGTATTACAAAGCTAGGTAGAATGTTATTCAAAATTTTTTGAGATTTTTATTACAAAATCAGATATACAGAGAGGAAGATCTTCCATCGGATGATTCACTCCCCAAGTGAGTGCAACGGCCGGTGCTATGCTGATCCAGAGCCAGGAGCTTCTTCCGGGTCTCCCACGAGGGTGCAGGGTCCCAAAGCTTTGGGCTGTCCTTGACTGCTTTCCCAGGCCACAGGCAGGGAGCTGGGTGGGAAGTGGAGCTGCTGGGGTTAGACCAGCGCCCATATGGGATCCCGGCGCATTCAAGGCGAGGACTTTAGCTGCTAGGCCACGATGGCGGACCCTGAAATTTTTGAAAAGCAAAAATTAGTATGATTTTTTGTTATGTACTAGAACATTTTCTGTCCAAAATCATTCTAATAGTTTCCAGGCTCGCTTGGATTGTTGGGAGAAGTTATGTGAAGCTTTATAGTAGAGAGTATCACTTGCGTTCCTGCAGCATCCTTTTTAAGCACCTTACTGGATTTATCTTAGTGGTCATTAGAGGACAGTACAGCACACAGACACTGAATATAAAAGTGTTTTATGTAAAAAAGTGCTATAGTACCTTGCCTGCTTAAGAACGAAAAGGCATAGGGGCCCAGTGCCATAGTGTAGTGGTTAAATCCTCACCTTGCATATACTGGGGTCCCCTATGGGTGCTGGTTCATGTCCCAGCTGCTGCACTTTCCATCCAGCTCCCTGCTTGTGAACGGTGAAAGCAGTAGAGATAGCCCAAAGCCTTGGAAGCCTCCAGCTGTGTGAGAGACCCAGAAGAGGCTCCTAACCCTTGCTTGGGGATGAACCAGCGGACAAAAGATCTTTGTCTCTCCTTCCTTTATAGCTGCCTTTCCAAAACAAACAAACAAAAAACAATCTTGAAGAGAACAAAAGGATTATAAAGAGAAATTTCTGCTGTCACGAGAACATTTTTTTTGTCCAGCATAAGTAGCATATGTGTTACTTATCATCTCTCCCTTTTTGTTGAAGTAATAATTTACTTAAAAAGGCTTACTTATTTCAAAAGCAAAGTGAGCAAGAGAGAGAGACACTTCTTGTCTGCTAGGCTTCAGTGATCCCAGGCTAGGCCACGGTTTAGCCTGTATTCTGGAATTCCAAGATCCTGTATCTGCTGCCTACTTGGCAGGGCCTGAGTCTCAGGTTCACCAGCGGGTAGCTGGATGGGGAGCACAGTAGCTGGTACTATAGCTGACCCTCTTCAGTCAGGTGGGCAAGTGCCAGATTAACTTGTGTAACCCTGGCCGCAGCACTTCTGTATTTGATGGAAAATCTACACTTGGTCTTAGCCAAAAGGCCAAGAAGTGATTGATGGGAAATCTGAAATAGTACAATACCTGGAAGAGAGGATCACTCACATCTGACTAACTCTGCTTTGTATGTGGCTCGTAAAATGGGAGGCAACTGCTCTGTACTCCTGGATAGTGAATTCTAGTTCTATTGTGTATTCAAAAATTTGAGATAGAATTCACATTTTAAAATTGGTCCCTTTAAAAATTTTTAATTTACTGAAAATTCAGTGTTTTTAGTATGTGTACAGATACTAAAACATCAGTTTTAAAGAGGGACTTTTAAAATGTTTGGTTCTATCTCAATATAGAGAAGCTTTTGTAAAAGCCTTCCCTCCCCCCGCCACTTCCTTCTGAAACATATTTCAACTGATAGTTGTAGTAGCTTTAATTTAAACCAAGTGAAAAGTAAAAGCAGCTAGTGCAAACTCCCAGGAAATTAGTACCATACTCTTTAACCAGGTAGTTTATATTAGGTAATTTCAGTAAGGCAATTCAATGCTTTTATGGTTCATAACATAGTAATGAAATCTTTGAGCAGTTACTTGTTTTCTGTAATACAGTTATCCAGTTTCTCCCTGGAAGGATACTGTCAACCCTGTTAAATACTGTTTTTTGAAATTTGAACTCTTAAATTAAGCATTCAGCCAAATTGTCCCAGAAAGCTGAAAAATTTTTTTCTATTGTTCCTGCCTTTAATAATTAAAAGAGATATTTTCTCTCTTTCTCTTTTTAAGGTTAACACCTAAAATTGGTTTTCCCTGGAGTGAAATCAGAAATATTTCATTTAATGACAAAAAATTTGTTATAAAGCCAATTGACAAAAAGGCACCTGTAAGTAAAAATAAATAATAAACAAATGTGCTTTATGTTAATTCCCTCTTTAACTGTACGTACTTGAGGAATGGTACTGTTCAGTATTCCATGACATTGAGGAGCACAGTCCTTAGACATCTATTTGTAGCGTTCTGCTCTCTGAGCTTTTTTAATTTATAACTTGAAGCCTTGAACTTGAAAAATGTTTTTAAGATCAATTTTTAAAGGTGCAGTGTTGAGAATACTACTTACTGTCTTAGAAAAAGAGGAAAGATGAGAAAAATGTTTTTTGGTTAAATACTTGGCAGGCATGAATAGTGGAGCAGTTTTACATTAGTGGCAGAATACAGATAGAGTTAATTCTTCCAGGGTGTGAGGAACATAGTAAAGAACATTTGATTGTATTGAAAGTCAAGAATTAGACTCCACAAAACTGGTGGTGCATGTAAAGGTGAGGAAATAGTTAACTACCTCTAGTTACCTGTGATCTGACATTAGAATTTATACCTCATAATGACATTTAGTACAGAATATTATACCCTTGAGGAGGGTTTTTAGTTTGTTACTGCTTTATTTCAGGATTTTGTTTTTTATGCACCTCGTTTGAGAATCAATAAGCGGATTTTGGCCTTATGTATGGGAAACCATGAGCTGTATATGCGCAGAAGGAAGCCCGACACGATTGAAGTACAGCAGATGAAGGCTCAGGCTAGAGAGGAGAAACACCAGAAGCAGCTGGAAAGGTATGGAATCTGTGCCAGATGAAGTCCACTTTACGACTCTCTTAAAATGCACACTTTGCCTGATTTCTTTGTAGGGCAAAATAATAACTGTCCTTTACTAAAATGAGTATGTGTGATTTTCAAAATACTTGGCAGACACTTCTGAGAAAATAGCTTTTCGTGATTTAATGCATAACCCTTGGAGTGTATTTGCTTCTCACTAATCAATAAAGTTTTGATATTGCAGTTTGACATTTCCTTTGGGATTTTAGGTTCCAGTAATTTTCCAGGGTAAGAATGCTGAATGTTGATCTTGGGAACAGTGTCAGTGCCACTGTGGAGCTTGCCTGAAGATGCTGCGCCGAGTGGAGCACTAATACTTACCGGATACAGTCCTGATTTTAACTGTGATCCCCTTAGACTTGACAGACACTGCTAAGAATATTAAATTGAGAATCTTGGGTGGAATGTTTTAAAGATTTTTTATTTTTATTGGAAAGTCAGATATAAAAAGAGTCAGAGAGGAAGATCTTCCATCCAATGAGTCATTCCCCAAGTGGGTCCAATGGCTGGAGCAGCGCTGATCCGAAGCCAGGAGCTCAGATGCTCCCCTGGGTCTCCCACGCAGGTGCAGTTAACTGCTTTCACAGGCTACAAGCAGGGAGCTAGATGAGAAGCGGGGCTGCTGGGATTAGAACCATATAGTATTCTAGTGTGTACAAGGGAGGACTTCAGCCACTAGGCTACCTCACCAGGCCCACAAGCTTCATTTTTAGAAGTTTTCGAGACTAGTTTTTCAGAAAACAACAACAAAAAATCCTGTTGTAATTAAGAAATATGAGATCCTATAGAAACAAAATTGAGATGCTGTTAATGTTTTTCCTTTTATTCAAGATTATTAATTTGAAAGAGTTAGAGAAAGGGGAATAGATCTTCCATCCACTGGTTCACTGTACAAATATCCACAACGGCTAGCCTGAAGCCAGGAACTTGCTGTGGGTCTCCCATGTGGGTGCAGAGGCTCAAGCACTTGAGCCATCTCTTGCTGCTTTTACCAGGCGCGTTGCCAGGGAGTTGGATTGGAAGTGGAGCAGCTGGGTATTGAACTTGTGTCCATATGGGATGTCAACACTGCAGGTGGTGGCTTTACTTGCTATCCCACACTGCCATCCCCTGCAGTTTTTTAAACATTGTGAATGAAAGAAGGTTTCTGTCTAAAAATTTAGATAAATTCTCTGCTAGATGGTATTTTAAAAATATTTATTATTTGATAGACAGATTTATAGAAAGAAATCTTCCACCCATTAAATGACTCCCCAAATGGTTGTAATGGCTGAAGCCAAGCCAATTCAAAGCCAGAATCCAAGAGTTTTGGGTCTCCCTTTTGGGTGCAGGGTCCCAAGGCTCTGGGCCATCCTCCCCTGCTTTCCCAGGCCGTACATAGAGAGCTTGATGGGAAGTAGAGCAACCAGGACACAAACTGGCACTCATGGGATGCCGGCACTTGCAGTCAGAGGATTAACCTTTGAGCTACTACACTAGTCCCTAGATAGCATTGTATTATACTCTTAGTATTTGTATCTGATGATTTTTATGTCCTGTGTAATTCAGATACTTTTACTTAAAAAATTAGTTTTATTATTCTAGTTTATTAGTTTTATTTATTAGTTTTATTATAAGTGAATAACAAAATGTTTTTTAGATGAGCATGGAACTTGTTAGTAATTTCTGTTCTCACCATTAAAGATATTAATTTGGATTATTACTTAGGGCCCTGTTGTATTAAACTCTCATTTGACTAGATGATACTGTAGTTCTAGTCTTAGGCAGTTAAGATATTATTTATTGTGCTTCAGTTTTTATATATTCTTACCCATCAGAGCCTTTTAGTTACCTCTCTCACAAGCAAAACTAAGTTTGTTAAGGTCTTTTACTATCAGTTATATAAACATGTAATTGATCTGCAATTGATTTACCTTGTGTTCATCACTATATTATGTCTCAGTTCTTCTGCTTGCTCATTATATTGACATTATTGATCCTCTTTTCAAAAATTTATGTGAAATTTTATTTTATATATGAAACATACAGAGAGAGAAAGGGATTCCCCATGCAGTGGTTTGCTCCCCAGTTGGTAACAGTGGAACTCTGCCTGGCTTTCTCACATGGTGGCAGGGGCCCAAACACTAGGCCGTCTTCTGCTGTTTTCCCAGACTTGAACTGGTGCCTTTGTGGGATGCTGGGGTTTGAAGTAGCAGCTAAACCCTCCAGTGATTTTGTTGTTGTTATTGTTGAATATTAAAGCATAATCAATTAAGTGCCAGAAATGAAATTATAATTAGTTTACTAAACAACAATTATTCACACTGAAGTGGAAGTGGTCTGAATATTGATTTAAACTTACTAGGTAGAAATACAATGTTTGAAGTGTTCAGTTTATTTTTATGCTCCCATTATAGAGTCTATCTAGGGTATGGGTAGGTGTTTGATGAATGAGTATTTTAAAAATCTTACCAGATTCACAGCAGATAAAGCCACAAGACTAAGCATTCATCCCCTCCAAGTGTTTTTGATGATTTCAGCATCAGACCCTAGTGTCGCTCTAATGGAACATTGAAAAATAAACATGTCACCTTGTAATCTAGATGTAAATGGGCACTGCCAGAGAAGTTAAACTAGTATGATTTATGCTTTTACTTTAAGGAACTTTGTGGGCTTCATGACATAGTGGAGGGCTGCTGCTAATGTAAGGAATGTATTTAAGGTTACTGTTACAGGGCCAACATGTAGTTTCTGTAAGTTTGTTCTGTATGTAAATGGCAAGACTCTCGATTGCTTTTCTCCGCTGTCAGGTCTGCCTAAAGAATATGCTTTGTATGTGAGGAGTATACTTGACAAAGACTTCACTGCTGCTTGTAGACGCTCTTTCAAATTGCTCTGAAAAATAATCAGCGGTTATAGCCCTATGATAAATACATTGAGATTCACTACACTGGTATATACATACCTGAATGGGTTTTTTGTTTTTGGCTGTTATGATTAGCTTTTTATTTAATTTTTAAAAAGATTTATTTATTTTTATTGGGGAATGAGATATACAGAGAGGAGGAGAGACAGAGAGGAAGATCTTCCGTCCACTGTTTCACTTCTCTAGTGGCTGCAGTGGCCCGTGCTGCCCTGATCCAAAGCCAGGAGTTTGTTCTGGGTCTCCCAAGCAGGTGCAGGTTCCCAAAGCTTTGGGCCGTCCTTGACTGCTTTCCCAGACCACAAACAGGGAGCTGGATGGGAAGCAGGGCCGCCAGGATATGAACTGGCACCCACATGAGATCCCGGTGCATGTAAGGCGAGGAGACTTTAGTCACTAGGCTACTACGTTAGGCCCATTTTTTAAAATTTTTAATTAGTTTGTTTATTAAAGTTGCCAGTATGGTTGCAAATAAGCTGATTTATTGGAAAGGCAGATTTATAGAGAGGACAGAAATGTCTTGCATCTGCTCAGTCATTCCCCACATGGTCATAATGTCTAGAGCTGAATCATTCTGAAGCCAGGAGCTTTTTTTTGGGCACCCCACACAAAGTCCCAATGATTTAGGCCATTTTTTCACTGCTTTCCCAGGTCACAAACAGGGAGCTGGATGGGATGTGCAGCAGCCAGGACACAAATTGGTGCCCATATGGGATGCTGCACTTGCAGGCAGAGGTAGCCAGTTGAACCATTGAGGTGGCCCAATGTTCAATAAGTTTTTAATAGATTCTGTGTAGTTTCTTGGTAAAATTCTAATAATGATATTCTTCCTTTAGCACCTTGTCAATTTCTGTCTTAAGTTTTTGGATAACATTTTAGATTTACATTATTGTACTCCTGTATTCTAAACTAAAATGTAATGAATGGTGCAGTTGTACTTTAGCTGATTCACAATTAGCACTTTGGTTTCACGTAAGTATTTCAGTTAATTTGTAATAATGCAATTTCTTTTAAGGGCACAGTTAGAGAATGAAAAGAAGAAAAGAGAAATAGCAGAAAAAGAAAAGGAAAGAATAGAACGTGAGAAAGAGGAACTAATGGAACGTCTAAGGCAAATTGAAGAACAAACACTGAAAGCCCAAAAAGGTACACGTTTCTTTTTGATAGTAAATTCAGAGTTATTGCTTAGCTGTCGGATGGTACTTCCTTACTAGTATTACACTGTACTGATGCATTCAGTTGCCAGATCATTACTTCATGGACTCCTGTAATGCTTTTTTATTTAATTGGATGAGTAAATACTTCTCATTTTTATTCTACACATTTTAAATGGTTGCATACATTTTTATTCTTTAGGGGTGAGTATTCCCGTAAGGAAGATTTCACTTTAGTGGATTAGAAAATACACAACACATGGACATACTGTTGATAATTTATAGGGGAGGGGGATATATGTGGAGGAACTTATCTCTTGAGCACTATGATAAGCAGAATGCTACATTGGATTTATAGTGTGATTTCTGTTCTGTAAATCCCAGCACCTGCTAATTTGTCATAGCAAATACAACAAGCAGAATTACTGAAAACACTGAAGTGTGTTTCCTAAGCAATAGAATCTCAGGGAGTCACATGAAATCTGTAGTGCTTACCCCTGTCAGCTTGTAGAAAGTATGATTTGGTTCCATTGGAAATAGCTAGCAGTTGGTAGCCAGTGGTAAAGGAAGAAAGATTGTTGTACATCTGGAAACTGATTGATCACAAACCTTCAGAAACTTAATAGTAAGAGGGAAAAAAAAAAACCCCAGAAAAATTCTGGGTTTTATTCTGACTTAGTAGGAGCGTCAGTTCTTATGGATGTGAAAGTCTGAGAAACAAGAGATCAAAGGCAGGGACTAGTGCTGTGGCATAACTGGTAAAGCTGCCTCCTGCGACACAGGCTTGAGTCCTGGCTGTTCCATGTGGAATCCAGCTTCCTGCTAATGCGCCTGGCAGAGTAGTGGATGTACCCATGTGGGAGACCTAGAAAAATCTCATGGCTTTGAACCAGTTCAGCTCTAACCGTTGGCAGCCATTTGTTTGCAGGCCACAGTTCACAGGTAGAACTTGTTTCTAGCATTGTAGGTGCCTTTTTCACCCATTAAAATAAACATTGATGAGTGCCTACTTAGTGCTCTATCCTAGGAATACAGATATGTAGTGTAACACAAATGCAGAAAAATATTAAATGAGACAGCCGTACTGAGCACTGTGTGAATGGTAGAAGAACATTTAGACCAAGAAAGCAGTAAAAATTGATCATACTAATGTATGCTTAAAAGGGACAGTTTAAAATTAGAACTGTATCACTAATGTTTTTAAAGAAAAGTTTGTTATAGCACTTTACCTAGAATCATTTCTAAGAGAATAGTCATTTACTGAATTTTCAATCTTATTTATTTAGGATTTAAAACGGGGAAGATAGAACATAAAGACTGTAGAACATCCCTATCAAGACAATTTCAAATCAGTCATCTTAAGGCCAAGGAAATCTAACTTGCTTTTGTGTTTTCCAATAAAGCTTTCCCAGGCTGACCTAAAGTCCACTTGCTTGTCTTGTAATTTATGCTGACTTCTCATTCAAAAGCAGTAACTTTGGCTAGATGTAAGTTATATAAGCTATAATTTTTCATTTAAGCAAAAATTTTACAGTTTATTTTCACTTGATTTTTAAACTGAAGCCATTATTTTATATTTCTTTTGTTTTTCATTTCTATAATGTCACTGTTAAACTGTTTTGAAAGGCAGAATTAAAGCGAGAGAGATTTTTCATCTCTGGTTTACTCCCAGAATGTCTGCAGTGATTGGGGCTGGGCCAGGCCAAAGCCTATAATTCTGACAGTTCTGAAGTTATAACATTGGTTCAATAATATTTGAGCTACAGCATAGCCTGACCTATTTCAGTTACTATTTCAAAAAATTTTAGATACCCTTATTCAGGAAAATGGTCATAGGAATGAATAAAGATTTAGCAATCTCTTGTATTCTGAATGCTTAATTAAGCAAAAAAAATATATATATGTATATATTTTTTTAATGTTCCAGGTACTGGGGATTAGTATTGAAAGACCGTTCCAGTGTTTATGGACCTTACTTTAGCTAGAAGCGTGTCCCACATGGGTGCAGAGGCCCAAGAACTTGGCCTTTGTCCACTGCTTTTCCAACCACACTAGCAGGCAGCTGGATCCAACGTGGAGCAGCTAGCACATGAACCAGTGCCCATATGTGATTCTGGTATTGCAGGCAAGGGCTTAACATAATACGCCACGATGCTGGCCTCGGGACCTTACATCTTACTAAGGGAAGATAGTGATTGCAAACTCCCATCTCCTGCCCTGCTCGTTAAATGTGAGGAACTGGAAACTCTATCCATCACTCACTGCCTTCCTATACAGTAGCAGGAAGCTAGACACAGGAGTGGATGCAGGACTCTAACCTGATACTCACGTGGGGTACAAACACGCAGAGATGAGGCTTCACTGCCACACCAGACACCTGCCGGGACAGTGGTACTTTAGGAGAGAAGCTACTTTTTCATTTGAATGGCAAATAACTTCTAGGTGTGTGGCTCATTGGACGTTTACAAAATGCTCTGGTTATGGGCATTAAGAGAATGTACCAGTAATTAGAAATTTTGTCTCTCTGCCTTCCAAATAAAATAAATTTTCAAAGTAAATATCAGACTCCACATGCTTTCTGTGCCAGCTACTCAACAGTGGCATTGCAGTGTGAAAAACAGCTCACCCCATCCCCTCATGGGGATGAAGGAACTGTTCTGATACATTTCATGTGCCAGACACAAAAATATTGGGAGCTGGCATTGTGGTGCAGCGAGTTAATCTGCCACTTGCAAAGGCAGTATGCTGTACTGGAGTGCCGGTTTGAGTCCTGCTGTTTGCTCCAGCTTCCTGCTATTATACCTGGGAAGGCAGTGGAAGACTGCCCAACTGCCTGGGCCCCGGCTTTGCCTTGCCCCAGGCCTGGTTGTTGCTCTTTGGGGAGTGAACCTAAAAGTGGAAGTGCTCTTTTCCCTCATCTCTGTTCTGCCTTTCAGATGAATGAATACCAACATATACATATTTGTACCAGGACTTGGTTGGGTTTTATACTTAGGGCATGCCATTGTTTACTAATTCCTGTTCTCAGTCAACTATAAAAGAAAGAAATAGGGAAGTCATTTATGTGTTATATAATTATTCACAACTTTCCATTCTAGAATGGACAAATTCAGTTGTGGTTCACATTTAAGAAAATTTAGACTTGAAAATATGCCTCAGTAGCATTAGCTATCATTTTTCAGGTTATTATGACAAAGTTGATAGAAACTAATTATTCTAAAATTTAACTTTGTAATCCATACTGCTTCAATTTGTTATACTACAGAACTCTTTCAGTTGTGAGAAAATAAAGCATTGTGCTTTTGTTGCAAAATCTAACACAAAATTGAGTATCTAAATGTATTGTTAAGTGACAATAAATATACTCATGTTAGCTACATCTTGCAAAAGTAAAGCGATCTTCCCATGAAGTTGACTCCTTGGTGCTCCCTCCCTCCCCAGGCCCCTGACAGGTGCCAGCTCACGTTGTTACTGATTTTAATTACCATAAGTGAAATCATACAGTGTTTGTCTTTCTGTGACTAGTTCATTTTACTTACTCTAATATTCACCCATGTTACAGCATCTGTCAGAATTTCCTCCTTAGGATCTGCACACCACACTTTGCTTCAGTGTTCATTTTCATTGGATGCTTCAGTTATTTGTACATGTTCATAGTAGTCAATGATGTTACCATGAATCTTGGTATGCCGCTATCAAACAAAGATTTGAGAGGGTAGGAGAGCTTCTGTCAACTGGTTCTCTCCTCCAAATCATTACAGTTGCCAGGACTGGGCGAGTCTAAAGCTAGGAGCCTAAACTCCATCTGGATCTCCCACGTGGGTGCAGGGGTTAAAACCCTAGAGCCACGTTCTCACAAGCCATTAGCACGGGACTAGCCGGAGTAGGTGGAACACTAAATGGTGCCCAGGTGGGATGCCAGCTTCACCTGTTCTCTTGATTTCAGTTCTTCAAAATGAATGATAAAGCCATGAGCTTTGTGCACTTTCTTAAAAGTTTGTTTGGCTTGATTTTTTTGGATATTAATTAAACAGTGAATTTTAACATGAAAAAAAACCTAGAATTTAGCATGGTAGCATCAGTGCTGTACACAATTCATCTTTGTAATGGAATAGTTTCACAGAATTTCTGTGCTGTTTTAATAATAACTTAAAACTTAACTGAATTTGGTTTTTTTTTTCCCTCCCGCCCCTTTACATCCTAATTTTTAATTACTTCAAACCAGGGAAAGAAAAGCTTGTGCATTTCTTTTAGCTGTGAAACAGAATGGCATAAGTTTTAAATTTTGCCTCTATGAATTATATTAGGGAAAGTCAGTCTTTTTAGGATACTTTACATTCTTAACAGATGGCACTGTTGGCTTCTATCATAGAACCAACATAGGGTTGAATAAGAATTGTCCAGATAATGTTTAAATTAGTACTTTTAAACTCCTTTAAAATCTTTGCTTGTTATTCAAATGACACTTTACTATTCACATCATTGGAATAAGAATTTTATGCTTTACAACTTTAAGGTTAACATTCATATTAGCTCCAAATATTACTTGTCCTCCTGAGTGTGTTATCAGTGACATAATTTTCAATCATTGATACCAAAATTACTATTCAGGGAGAGGGTCTCCTAATCTGGAATCTGGATTTAATACAGAATGTGCTTCCATAATCCAAAACTTCCAAATTACTTTTCTCTAACTCAGTATGATGCCAGAGGTGGAAAATTGTACATGTGACATCAACTGAGGGTTAAACAAAAGAGATGCCACTGAAAGTACTGTGCAAAATTATCTTCAGACTATGTATATAAGAATAAAGTAATTCTGTGTTTAGATTTGGTCCTGTCCCTGAGATAACTTATGTGCAAGTCCCCTAAAATCCAGGGTCAGGTGCTTATGGTTCCAGAGTTTTGTTGTATAATAAGGGATATTCGATCAGTATTAATCTGGATACATTTTAGAATGTGTTATATATAGATTGCTGAAACATGGAAATTTGTTTCCCAGAGTCAAAATTGTTCCTGTGCAGGAATTTGACTTGTGGAGATTTTGCATTTTTAACTTAACAGAGATTTCTTTTTTATGGTAAACTCAGATATACAGAGAGGAGGAGAGACAGAGAGGAAGATCTTCCATCCGATGATTCACTCCCCAAGTGACTGCAATGGCTGGAGCTGCGCCAATCTGAAGCCAGGAGCTCTTCCGGGTCTCCCATGTGGGTGCAGGGTTCCAAGGCTTTGGGCCGTCCTCAACTGCTTTCCCAGGCCACAAGCAGGTTGCTGGATGGGAAGTGGGGCTGCTGGGATTAGAACTGGCACCCATATGGGATCCTGGCATGTTCAAGGTGAAGACTTCAGCCACTAGGCCACTGCGCTGGGCCCAAGTTAACAGATTTTTGAAATCCCCAGGTTTCTGCCAAGTTACAAATGAGATTATACATGTAGTTACATATGTGTTAACTTTTAAAAACTGTAGAGATTCTTTGTACTATTCTGGCTTTCTTTATAGTGAGACTCTTTGTTAATTAATCATTTTGGGGGGCACTTAACGTTTCACAGAACTAGAAGAACAAACTCGAAAAGCTCTAGAGCTGGACCAGGAACGAAAGCGAGCGAAAGAAGAAGCAGAACGCCTTGACAAGGAGCGGCGAGCTGCCGAAGAGGCCAAGTCAGCCATAGCGAAACAAGCTGCTGACCAGATGAAGAATCAGGAACAGCTAGTAAGGAGCTGCCCTAGTTCTGTCTAGCTGCCCTAGTTCTGTAAAGCACGTGCTTGGAGTGAACCTTACAAACTACATGTTTTCTGTAAAGCACAACTGAGTAAAGTGGGGATAATCTAAACATTTATATACCTGTTCCCAAAACCCTTAACAAATAAACTCTTCAGAGCATTTTTTTTTTTTACACCTTACAAATAGGCCTACTGCCAACAAGATTCTGAATCTGAACAGGTTCGGCAATAACCCAAATGGAATCTTTTGCTTTAGAAGAACTGATGCAATGTAACCTGGTTCCTAAAAAGAAAACTAGATATCAGGCTTGTTTGAAAATTTTTTTGATATAGTAGACTTGGAAATTACTGACACTTCAGAGGTGCTGGAATCAAGTACCTCAGTGCTCTTGAAAAGAGGGATGATATTAGTTAAGGACTTATTGCAGAATCAGGCGAGATCATTTGACTAAAGGCTCTTTAGCTGTAGAGCCACCTTATCATTGTAATTCCTGCTTTTGTAGACTTCAGTACGTGGCTCATTCATTGATAAAAGTACGAAGTAGCTAAGTTTCACATTTTAAGATCCTGCTGTTGAACCAGGATTGATGCATCTACAGAATAAAAATCTTACCACTTTTCCTCCGGTCAGCTAGTATCACAGGACCTACTAGAAGATAGTAGAAGATACATGTATTGGCTTTTTTAAAATGGAAAGTTACCTAGCCCAAGCACCGTGCAGTTAGTTGGTCTAGCAGTTTGACTCTGCTTGGGACACCTGCATCCAGTCAGAGAGCCTGGGTGGACATCCCTGCTCCACACCCAGCGATGCTAACACATACCATGGGTGGCAGCTTAAGTGGTTGAGTTACTGGCACTCCAGCTGAGATGTTGATTAAATTCCCAGCTGCTGACCCTGGGCCTTTGCAGCCATTTTGATAGTGTAAGTAGGACTCCATCTTCTTGCTCTACCCCACTGGCCATCATTTCCTCCTTCACAAGTAAAAATGTACAAATATATCCAGAATCCCGAGTTTGTATGTTAAAATGATGTTGACTCAACCTGTCAATCTAAGTAATTGTATTTTTTATTTAAGGCAGCGGAACTTGCTGAATTCACTGCCAAGATTGCACTTCTGGAAGAAGCCAAGAAGAAAAAGGAAGAGGAAGCAACTGAGTGGCAGCACAAAGTAATCATTTATTTGTTCATTTGGCATCCTTTAGTTAATAGTTATTTTGTACTTAGCTATATGACTACTTTCAGAGAAGAATAAACATAAAAGCAAATGTAAATTAAGTTTGGACAAAACAGAAAAAGTGATTTTCTATTGGAATTTAAGATGAACTTTACTGCAGTGTTTTGAGGGACTGAACGTGCTGGACAGCAAGTTGAATCTGTATGTGTGTCTAGACTTGAGGATAACCTTTAAGTGACGAAAATCTAAGATTTAGATGTGTTGGAGCCTGGCAGTGTGGTGTGGTCAGCTAAGCTGCCAGTATCGCATGAGTGATGGGTAGGGTTCTGGTTGCTTGGCTTCTGATCCAACACCTGGGAAAGCAGCCTACAGAAGATAGCCAAGTTTGTGTGATAGCTTACTAAGCTAATCCTTGACCTGCAAGAACTGGCATCCCATAGGCGCTGTTTCATGTCCTGGCTGCTCCACCGCCCATCTAGCTCTCTGCCTGTGGTCTGGAAAAGCAGTCGAGGATGGCGCAAAGCCTTGGGACCTTGTACCCCCGTGGAAGACCCAAGAGAGGCATCTGGTTTCAGATTGGCCCAGCTCTGGCCTTTGTGGTCATTTGGGGAGTGAACTAACAGATAGATTTTGTCTCTCCTTTTCTCTGCAAATCTGCCTTTTCGATGAAAATGCATCTTTCTTTAAAAAAAATGTTCCAAGTGGTTGGGCACCTGCCACTGGCATGGGAGACCTGGATGGAATTCCTGGAATTCCTGACTCCTGAATACAACCAGGTCCAGTACTTTGTGGCTTTTTGAGGAAATGAACTGATGGTTTTAACTTGCTGTGCTGCTTGTAACAACACCTTTGAAATGTGTAAATATTACAAAAGGAATTTGTAATTATCAGTTACAATTAGGTAACTGATAAGTTACATAAAAGTTGGGGCAAGGCAGTAGGGAGGACATATAGTCAAAGATTTCAAAACAGGAATTGTAACAAAATCAAAACTGACTTTGTTTAACAAGAAAAATTAGTTGCAGTTCAATGTGAAGAACAGCATGGGAGAGTATATTTCTTCCATTTTAAATTATGTTTTGTTTTCAGTTGCTTGAGTAGTCTTCATACTGACTTGCATAGTGGCTGCACAAGTCTACCGTCCCACTAGCAGTCTAGGAGGACCTTTCTTCCCCACATCCTCACCAGCAGGTGTTGATGGTAGTTTTCTGTACGTGGACCATTCTCACTGGAGTTAAGCAGAATCTTAGTGTTTATTTGAATTTCCCTTATTAGGGAGCTTGAGCATTTTTTCATGTCTGTTAGCCATTTGGATTTGTTCCTTTGAAAAAATGCTCATTTCCATCACCCATTTCTTGACTGGCTTGTTTGTTTTGTTGTTATGGTTATTCTGGAGTTCTTTGTATATTCTGGATATTATCCCCCATCTTTTGAGTGCAAAGATTTTGAAGGTTGGATTCTTAATTGAAATACTCAAACTGAAGAGGCAGTAACGAGAATACAGAGTAATGCTAAGAGTGGACATTGTATGGTAGACTGAGAAGGGTATAGCACTAGATGATTGAATGTGTGCTCGAGGGGTACAATGATGATTCTGGAATTTTTGTTTAAGATTGACTTATCTGAATTGTGGACAGGATAGACACACAGAGAGCTTTCATCCTTTGGTTCACTTCTGAAATGGTTGTGCTGGCTGGGGCTGAGCCAGGTTAGGCTAATGCCAGGAGGTCGGGCCTTTAACTTCTGTTTTGCTGAGTTGCATTGGCAAGGAGCTGGAGCAGAAGTGCAGCATCTGGTACTTGAACCAGTGCTCATATGGGATCCTAGAGCTACAAGTTGTGACTAAACCTACTGTGCCTTCAATTAATGTTTAGTTGCAGGAATAGGACATATGAGATTACTAGTAATGCACTCAAATGATACATAATTGTGATTTTTTCATAAGTGAATGTGTTCAATATAGATAATGGCTTTCATTTTCTTAATTGAAATTTTATCCACCTGTGTGTTTTAGTGCTTCAAAAAGAAGGAAACCGCCATTGAAGTTTTGAAATTAGTGTACCTTCATGCTATTGCTTCTGTGTTTTCATTTCATGCAATACTAGATTATACTCAAAACTTCTGTTGGCCCAAAAATCTGAGATAGCTGATCTTCCAAACCAGTATTAAAAGTAGGACTCCCCTAAGTTTCTTTTACTTGTGACACCTTTCTTTTTTATGAGGTGGATTTATTAAAGGGCCCTGGGAGTGTTACTTGGTTACTTCTTACACTGTCATTCAGCTTATTCCTTGATTCCTAATTTTCCCTGTAAATTGTAATCACTTATACCTAGAAGGATGAATAATTTGAAATAACGTTTTAGCTACAGTCAATTATAGATGAGACTTTTACATAATGTTATTAAAACTAGAGCAATTTTGAGAGTAAAACAGTGTTATTACACAGGACAGCAGTGACCGCAGGGCTATCCTAGGCACATCAGGATAATGTGGTTATTGAGATTACTGGCAACCCTGGTTATTTTACCTTGTATCACATTGGAAGATACTTTACTAACCCGCTGTCTTTTGTTTGTTTGTTTGTTTTAAGATTTATTTATTTTTATTGCAAAGGCAGATATACAGAGAGGAAGATCTTCCATCCAATGAATCACTCCCCAAGTGGCCGCAATGGCCAGTGCTGTACTAATCAAAAGCCAGGAGCCAGGAACTTCCTTCTGGGTCTCCCACGTGGGTGCAGGGTCCCAATGCTCTGGGCTGTCCTTGACTGCTTTCCCAGGCCACAAGCAGGGAGCTGGATGGGAAGTAGAGCTGCTGGCACCCATATGGGATCCTGGCGTGTTCAAGGCGAGGACTTTAGCTGCTAGGCCACTGTGCCGGGCCCAACCCACTGTTAATTTTCACTGAAAATGGTTTACTTTAGTTGTATGTGTTCCACCATTGTCTGGTTATATTTTTCCCTAGTTGCTCATAGCTGATCTATTGAATGTTGTATTTTTAATAAGGAAGCGAGAGATTATTTATATGTGGATTCATTTCTGCAAGAGGCCACCGATTTCAGGGCCTGGGATTCTCTCTAGGTCTCCAATAAGGGTAGCAAAGACCCCAAAACATCTGAGCCCTCTTGTGTTGCCATCCCATGCACATAGGCTTGGAAGCAGAACAGTGGAGATTTTAACTGATGCTGTTTGGAGATGGCAGCAGCTTAACGTGCTGGACTACAACATACTACAAGACTCCACTCTGCTGGTGGCATTTTCATATGAATGTCCACATCCTGTCAAATGTAATAGTTCTAGCAGCAATTGATAATCTTCGCCAGAATTAATAATTTTACTGGGGTTTGCAAAATAAAAAAATGTTTTCACTTTATAGCATTCCATGAAAACTGGTTTTTCATTATTCTGAAATGAAGGTATATTTTTTATTACCATATTTACAAGTAAGTTGTTTATATATGTATTTTCAATATTCAGGCTTTTGCAGCCCAGGAAGACTTGGAAAAAACCAAAGAAGAGTTAAAAACTGTGATGTCAGCGCCCCCTCCACCTCCACCACCACCAGTCATTGCTCCAACGGAAAATGAACATGATGAACACGATGAGAATAATGCTGAGGCCAGTGCTGAATTATCCAACGAAGGGGTGATGAACCACAGAAGTGAGGAAGAACGCGTAACAGAAACACAGAAAAATGAGCGTGTTAAAAAACAGCTCCAGGTATTTAACGATTAGTTATAAATCTTTGTCTCTAAACCTGGTTGGCCTTGTGACTGGTGTGTCCTATAGTCATGTTATTTCTCTTTGTCCATTGCATAATCTCATTAGCAAATATGTTAGCTTTATCTAATCAGGCCTTAACTAGTGAGTTGTTTAATTATAGCTTGACACATTTAAGAGGTAGGATGTATTGTAAAAATGTGTTACAAGGACAGTTTTGTGTGTACTGACTATACTAATATTTCAGTTCCTGGAAGGGACTATCTAATTCAAATTATTCTTTTTGATATGGAAATAGCAAGAGGTCAGTTTAGATCAGAATAGGAAATTATTTCTGAGAATGGTCTAATTGGTGAAATCTTTAGGAAGATCAGAAAGCATAGTGATAGAATTGGCATATTAAGACTTAAAGCAAGCTTCTCATGCTGTACATTCTAGATTGTTACTAACATTATAATGTGTGTTTTGGGATGTTTAAAGTCATTTCAACTATTGGATGAGGAAGCAAGGGAATCTAGAATAGTCAACAGAATACTGGGGTTTTTAAAAGCAAAAATGAAAGGTAATGTTATTCCTCCTTTACCTCTACCCTTAATCCTACATATTTCATAAAGAAATAATGCATTTAAAAATTTCCCGTGTAGTTATGCAACTTTTATGAATTTAAGAGTCATGCTTTCTTTTTTTAAATATAGGCATTAAGTTCAGAATTAGCCCAAGCCAGAGATGAAACTAAGAAAACACAAAATGATGTTCTTCACGCCGAGAACGTTAAAGCAGGCCGTGACAAGTACAAGACTCTGCGACAGATTCGACAAGGCAATACAAAGCAGCGTATTGATGAGTTTGAAGCAATGTGAGAGCTGTTCGTTTGCATACGTGTTCCTCATAAGCTGAACCACCATCAGAGAAAAGCAGGCCTTTGCAGATGTGATGGAATGCATCCCACCTTGCCAAAGCACTTAATACCAGTTTGACTGTGGTGGCTAACAAATTTAAGGGGAGCTCTTCAGCATTAAGGCAGTGTGATGTCATGATTGGTTTTCTTTCAGGGCAGGGAGTGGAGAACAGTGATTTGTTGCCTCCTTTCATATTTTCCATTTTCCATTTTTTTCCTGTTAAATTAACACTAATTATCATGTCCGAATGTGTATGTGTGGTTTGAACATTTTGTACATTTTAAAGCATAATGGTGTTTACATAGAGCTGTTTTCTCTTGCCCCTTCTGTATTTTTAACCTGCATGCATTTCCACATTCTCACGCCCACATTTTTCAGTGTGCCTTTTTCATAATCTGCCATGATAGATCATTGGCAATGCTTAAAATGATGGCAGTAGAGTGCAGTCTGATCATTGTATAGGCGATGGCTGTGGATAATACTGTAGTGTGCAGCTAATTTGCAGTCTTGGATATTTGCTTAATTACCGTCATCTAACAGCAGAACCAAGTGGCATTTGTTTCCTGTAGTTCCCTCATGGTTTTCCTTGCCTGCTGCTTCAGAAGTGTAGACAACAGGTTCTTTAGGATAGTTTCTGGAAAAAACACTGGGAGATTTAGAAAATTACTTTTCATTTTTTTTTTTTAAGAAAATCAAATGTTTAATAAAAAACACATAAACTTGCTGGTAGTTTATTTTGTTCACTAAGAAAATCCCTTTCCATTTCTGGAAAGGCACCATGTGAAAACCCCCACCCAGGAAGGGAACAGGGCCACTACCTCACTGTTAGACCTGTGCTGGCTTTGTCAAACATGAGTGTGTACACTGTTCATACTGCACAGTGATAGACTCGATCGTGAAGCACTGCTCACAAGATCTCATTTTCTTTCAGAATACCTGAGTGCTAAATTGCCCTTGTTGAGCTGAACTGCGGGACTCTGATTTGTATTAAAATTAAAAGCTTTCACTGGTGTACTATCTTCCTGGAGGAGTAATGTGTGCTGTATGTGAGTGTCTGAGAGAAATTACCTTTGTAGCATAAGAATGTTGTTTTCTGGTGTCAGTTACATAATCATACTTGATTTTGATTTCTAAATCAGTTTATTTTCAAAAGCAAATCTGGTTCATATTTTAGAAACTTGTAGATTAATATCAATTATGTCTTATTGAAGATATTCTTCCAATTAAAAATATTCTGATTTTTTTCCCCTTGGTAAGGTTCCTAGATTTGAAGTTACAGAGAGCCTTGTTTTCTCTGTGTGGTTCAGCTACTTTTCCATTGGTATTATGCACATTTATCTGTTAAAATTGCCATTTTATTAAACATTTTTTCATGCACAGTAGATTGACATTGTGTCTAAAAAAAAGTCTTGTGCTTTGTTTTGCTGACTTTAAAAGGATTAATCTGGGCAGACATGAAAAGGAAAGCTGCATTTAATATATATTTCTGACTCTACAAGACAAAAGATAACTGGATAACTTAAAGTGACTGTTGTACAGAGGTGGTCCCACATGATTCAAAACCATAGCATATTTTTATCAGTAGTACATCGGGGCACAGATAATGGATTCCACTGCTCAGACTTAAGTTCCACTTTCCAGAACATTCAGCATTGCCATAATAGGTGAAAACCTGGACTTCCACTTGTCTTGTTCCCCTGTGTGCGTTACCATTGCTACACCAGTTTGATACAGTGTTGAAAAATTACCAGTTATATTTGCTGTTTATAATCTATTTGTAGATTAGAATTAAAATGGATTAAATCCATTTTTAAAGCTGTATGGATTTTTCTAAGCCATTTGGTTTTCTTAGTAATTACAAAACAACTATAACTTTTATCATTAGCAGTTGAAAACATGTTTATAGCATTGTAAAAATACACTAATGAATATCTGGTAAATTCCAGTAGGCTTTTACCATTAGCATAATTTTGTGTTGTACAATTAAATTACATCTCTAATTTTGGATAATATTCATGGGTTAACAATAAAGTGAGAAAAACTCATGCCTTTAAGGTCCACTGTTGTTATTTCATATGGATTTCTTGTATTTTCCCTGAGAATTATAATCAGTCATAATTTGAATTCACATCTTAATCCGAGAAGTGGATATGAAATATTTTAGACTAGTAGTAGATTGATGCCTGCCCTAAATGACAACCATTTGGTTTGGAAATAGTAATTAATTCTGTGGTAAAACCAACTGTCAACAGAAGGTGATAGAAGAATTCTAATCATTGCTTTTAAAGCAGTGTATAGTTTGTCTTTATAAAGATGCTGTTTCACTGCTGTAAATTCCTTTCACTATTAAAATTCTAGTATTCTTTGAAGAACTACATGCTGAAGTGCATTTATTTAATGCATATTTTCAACCTACATTACAGAGCAGTTACCATAAATTTATATTAACTGCCTTTCTGAAAATGTAATTACTAGCTTTTATAATACTCTTCTTAAAGAATAAATCAATACTAAAAATAGGAAAAGTTGGTGTGTTCTTGGTTTGTAGTAATACTTAACTGTCACCTTGTTTCTGTTCTCAAGGGCAGACCGGTGCCGTCAAAAGAATTTTTATATACATTTTTTTAGAACTAGGAATGCCACTTTGACTTCTGGAACTCAGTTTTATCATCATTAGAAAAGTGTTCATGGTGTAATAACTAAAAACAATTCTTACCACATTATATCCCAGTTGCTGTCACCTTGTTGCTTGGTGAATAAGCCTAAAACCCAAAAGCACCCATTTTGTATATGCACAGTAACCACTTATCTTTTATTTAAAGTTAAGGCTTTAAATAAAATTAAGAAATCATTAATGCTATTACCTTACTGAATGGATAAATCTTAGATATTGGTAAGGAGGGAAAAAGTTCAGTGTGGAGCTGCCTAAATGAGAAGCATGTTTACAGTTTTTACCATATTTTAATTGGCTGTATCCCATATAGTGACAGCATTCTAGCACATTTCAAGAATTCAGTGGATTCTACAGATGTTTTTCAAACTCTCAAAAGTGTTCTAGCAATTCAGTTCCTTCTAATACCAGTAGGTAGGGAAAAAATACTCAAAACACTGTTCCATATGTCAGCGGTAATCACCATATCATGTAATCACCTTTTTAAAAATTAATTTTAACTCCCACATTTTGTTATTAGACCATCTTGTATATCTGTCAAGATTCAGAGCTGCTATTTGCCCTGTGGGAAGATCTTGACACCCTAGTTTTATCTCCTAAATATTTGATCTCCCTTAAAATTATTTCACACAAGAGTTTGTTTCTGATTTGGGTTTGCACATGTTCCCTTAGGAACAGAAGTTATTTACGCATTATTTCTTGCATTTAGCATTACAGTTCTGCAGGACTGAGATAGTTAGCACATGCCACATAACCTCAAGTTTGAGCTAATACTTGGTGACATAGGGCTCTTCATTGAATCAGCCCTGTTTAACATATCTGAGGTTTTAAAATCAGTTACTGTAACTGCTGGCCCTTTGTTTTGGCCTGTCTTAATGGACTTTCAAGCATTGTCTTAGTTAACAATGGAATATATTTTTAAATGTTAGTGCTATGTTGCTGATGTTACCTGTATGCCCAGATTCCTCCGTGCGTCACAGCTCAGCCAGCTGCTCCCATGCATGATTTTTTTTTTTTACTCCACATGTTCTTCTGTTAATGATCATTTACAAATTTGAATTCATTTTGGTATTTATGCATGTCTGTTTCTAAACATAGTAATACTGATTTTATTATAAATCATAACAACCAAATGCTTATATTCTTATTGGTAACAGGAGATCATATTGGTAAAGGGATCGTAAAAGGGTTACGATCTCTCGAGGTTGAGATTCGATGATTATCCTTGGAAAAATTCCTATTGATGAAACAAAGTATATGAAGTTCTTGCACTGTGTTATATACTGTATAACATGATCTCTATCCCTTCTGCTTTTTTCAACTATTTTTTTTCAACATTTTACAATAAGATGTTTTAATCTTATTTCATAGAATCATAATTTTTTTATGCTTAAAAAAAAGAGGTAGGAGAAACTTAAGACTTTAGTTCTTCTAGCTCAAAGTTGTATAATTAATGAAACTACCACAACACAAGACAGAACAGCGACAGGAAACTGTGAGCACTCAGGACCGATTTCTCGAATATGCCTGTTTTCTCAAAAATTGTCCTCTCACAGGTGCAGATTACATAGTGGTTAATAAAGATATCCTTAAGGAAGGTTTGTAATTTCTGAAGTTTTGCTAATGCTTATTAGGACTTACTCTTGCTTTCACCTCGAACAAACAAATCTAATATCTGGTGGTACCTGCAAGAGGCTTAATGGAGTTTGGGCTTTCAGGGAAGTCTACCCATTGTGGCAAAGTGTGTGTAGCATAACTATCATTTCAGTCCTTGTCAAGTCCATCTGCCTTAAGTGCGTTCAGTATTGTGCAGCTATCATCATGCTGTGGAACTTTGCATCCTTCCTCCCCGGTCCCTCATAAAAGGCCATTCTACTCTGTTGATTTAAGATGTCTAGGTATGTCATCAGAGTAGATTGGCAACTTAATGTCCTTGGTATCTAATGGTGAAATGGTATCTCATTCTGGTTTTGATTTGCATTTCCCACATCATGAAAGGTATTGGGCATCTTTTCATATACTATTTGCATTTGTACATCTTTGGAGAAATGTCTCAGAGGATTCCCAATTTGGGGATTCAGGATTTTTTTAAAGATGTTTTGAGAGGCACAGTGACAGGATGAGTCAGAGGTCTCTTCTTTCTATAGCTTAATTCCTTGTATGCTTGCAATAGCTAGGGTTAGGCCAGGCAGAGGCCAGAAACCAGGAACTCCATCTGGCTTTCCCACGTGGGTGGCAGGAACCCAAGTATCCACTGCCATTATCTGCTGCCTTCCGGGTACATTAGCAAGAAATTCTGTCTTAAGTGCTGAGTGGCCTGAACTCGAATCGGGCACCTCATGTAGGAACTGGCCTTCTCAAGGTCCAGTCTTTTCCAACTGAATAGAGTTAGAAAGTTCATCTAACACAGGATCGGAGTTGCTGTATCCTGACTAGCATGATAAACAGCAGGTTTGGTCAGTTCCTGTGGAGCCCAGGCCCTGTGCCGAGATGGTTTTGTCTGATTTATGGCTTTGGGGAAGGCACAGCTACAGAACAGGACAGTAACTCAGCCTTTACCCCAAAAAGCATCCTTGTAGCATTGTGTGGGTCTATGAAAGTATACAAAAATGTACACTCATTAGCCTGAGAAAAGGCTGCGGCTACAGTTGGGGACCAAGTTAAGACTTCGACACCTAGGTATAAGTTGCTCTTGTGTTGGCTGCATGTAAGTATACTTTTTCTTACTTCCTATGTCACCTGTTAGGACTCTAAAACCTCTTCTTTAATAACCTTTTGGGGATGAGTTTTGTGTGTTCCCTCCGCCCTTTTTTTTAAGGTTTACTTTATTTGAAAGAGTTACAGATAGAGGGAGAGCTCATCTGTCTGCTGGTTCACTCCCCGGAGTGCCTGGGTTGAGTCCTGGCTGCACTGGGCTGTGCCCTGATAGACAAGAAGCTGGCTTAGGTGGCAGGGTCCCTTCCAGGCACGGGCGGCCTGGCAGTCAGCCCTGACTTGCATGCAGCTACAGAGTCAGCCAGCTGATGGAAAGTCTTGTCAGCCTCTATTTAAAAAAAAAATTTTTTTTTTTGCTTTGGCAGTTATAAAATGAAATAATTGTCATTTATCAATTTTATGTGTAGGTTAAAATAACCTGAGATATGGCTATTTTGTAAACACTTGAGTACCAGACAATCTAAGGTCTACAATTAGAAGTCAGAACTTAAATCTGGATATAGTTTAATGTACTGGGCAGCAGTGCCTTCCAGTATAAACTTATTTTCAGGTTATTTGAACAACATGAATTTGGAGGGCAGACAGCGTATCATTAATCTTAAGTCTTGAGAGGTTGTTGGTATGGAAGTGTCCTCACGCATTAGGCTTTAAGCATGATTTACATTATTGGTATCTTGCGAACAGGTAAGGAATTGTTCTGTGCCATCTCATACATAAGCCATTGTGTATTATTAAACGTTAGACCATTACAGCACCTTCATTTTCCCCTTTTGCCACACTAAATTTTAAGTGTGGCCTACAGAGACCAGGAAAGCTTGAGCCTGATGTGGCTCCTGTTTCTGCTGAGCCAGCTATTCAGTCCTGCTCACTTCTGCTCTCTGGGTCTACACAGCTTGAGGCATCCTCAGCCACTCAGGACTCGGACTCTGAACCCCAGTCTAGAACCCAGGGATGCTTGCTCACATTTTCCTTCCTTTTGAGCATGTTTTCTCACAGAAAATGTTTAGATCTACATTTTTAAAAATTTTCAGAGCAGATTACATACAAGACCAGTCTGATTGCATGCGATTGTTACATTATAGGTAAAAGTAGCACACTGCATGTGTTTTGTATTCCCACATCAGGTTTGAATTCTGACATGACTTCTAGTTCTGTGACAACTCAACCATCTGATTTTTTCTTTTAAATTTGGGAGACAGGGCATTGTCCCAACAGCTGGCTCACTCCCCCAAATGCCAAGACTGATGGGCTAGGCCCCCACCAGAAGCTGGGCACTCACTCTAAGTCTCCCACATGGATGGCAGGATTTGAATTTCCCCCCGCCACCATCTGCTGCCTCCCCAGTTCTGCAGTGGCTGGAAGCCAGAATCAAAAGCAGAGTGTG